AGACGGATTTTTTTTATTTTTTCTTCTCTTTCAATTTTTTTTCGATTACAAATCTTTTTTCTTCTGTATAATTTTTATTCTTTATAATTTTTTTTAAAATATTTTTTTAATTTTCTTTCTTTTTTTTCTTAGTTTTCTTCTCTTATAATTTTAATTTCAATTATAGTTCCTTTTCTCTTCTGTAATTTTATTTTTTGCCATTTACATGAATTTTCTTCGATTTTTTTTCACTTGTAAATTTTTTTTCAATTATAATTTTTGTCTTCTGTCATTCCTAACAGGAAAAATAAATATTTATAATTTTTTTTAGTTTTTCTTTCTTTCACTACAAAATAAATAAAATTTACTATAAATATTACTTAAAAAGAAATTCTTGCTCATTACAGTAATAAAAAACATACTCATATCTGTTTCATTTAATTACAAGTTGTTTTTTCAATTCAAAGTTCTTAATAATTTTGAAAATTTCTCTAAACTTTTCTAAATTTCTTCAAAAATTTTTTTCATTTGAATTTATAACGATGAATATTTTTTTTTCGTATTTTTGTGAAATAAAAATTTTTTTTTGTAGAAAATATAGAGAATTTCTATAAAAGAAATAAAATGGAGGAAAGTACAATAATTATCAAGTAGTCAACGAACTTAATGTCTGTAATGGATTACCGCACATACTTGTCTGTTACAAACACCTCCATATAATATAAGGAAACCAGTTTTAAGTATACATCCCACTTTGTTGCTCTTTACTTTCGCCGAACTAGTCATTAAGACACATCTTATCGACGCGTGTCTCTATCATTTTAATTTTTAACTAAATATTTTTTTCCAATTTTTATTTTTTATATACCGAATATTTTTCTCTCTTCTATATAACGAATACAGAAATATTTTTAGCGAATTATCTTCACTTTTCCTCTTTTTCTCCATCCTCTTCTTATCTTAATGTTAATTGCTTCTCAAGCAATTTTTCATTCACTCAATTTTTTATTTGAAAAGTTAAAATTAATTTTAATTAAATTATTATTTAACAAATATTAGTATTTAATCTATTATTTATTAATATATAAACAAATAATTACTTATTTGTTTATATATTTGTTTATTTACTCATTTATTTATTTACTTATTTATTTCTTCACGTATTTGTTTATTAACTTATTTATTTACTTGAATAAACAAATAAATAAACAAATAATTAATTATTTGTTTATATATTTGTTTATTTACTTATTTATTTATTTACTTGAATAAATAAATAAATAAACAAATAATTATTTATTTGTTTATATATTTGTTTATTTACTCATTTATTTACTTATTTATTTCTTCACGTATTTGTTTATAAACTTACTTATTTACTTGAATAAACAAATAAATAAACAAATAATTAATTATTTGTTTATATATTTGTTTATTTACTTATTTATTTATTTACTTGAATAAATAAATAAATAAACAAATAATTACTTATTTGTTTATATATTTATTTATTTATTTACTCATTTATTTATTTAATTAAATTATTAATTATTGATTACTAATTATCAACAATTAATTATTAAATATTAATTATTAATTATGTTTGAAAATAGAATAAAAATCCGTGATAATTAATTTTTATTGTTTATCGAAAAAAAAATATTGGCAAACCTTTCAATTTTGAGTATTTCATTATGGCAATTAATGTTATTTAACTTTATTGACATGTCAAACAATGAAAAAAAAAAATATGTCAAATGTATTGTTTGTCGAGGAAGAAGAAAAAAAAATGAAGAAACTATTCAAGTAGGTGTTAGATACATAGCGTAGGTAGCGGGCAATTGTCACCTGTTCGCGTACAGAAAATGATTTACCACTCAACTTTGAGTATAAATTATTATTTTATTTTTTTTTCCTCTGCTCAATTTACGTCCTGAAAATCAACAATGATAAATGAGTCTCCACTGAGTTACGTTATATTTATAAATTAAAAGAACTTTTTAATATTTTTCAACTTTCACTATTACATATGTGTAATAAATATATTTTGAAGAAGTTTACGAATTTTTATTTTTAAGGAATTTTTTTTTTTCTTTAAATATTAATTTATTGCAAAGGATATTTATTTGCGTGGGTATAATAATAATAATAATAAAAAAAAAATTTTGTTCATAGACTGTATATTAAATAATTAAATTTTTACACATACGTTCGCGAGACAGTGTACACTATCAATATTAATGAGTCATTGAATTTCGAGAATAAGATAGAAATGATAGAAACGTGGAATGCAAAATTAAATTTACGATAAATAATTTTCAATTATTTCTGTATGATTATTATTTTTTTATTTATGTATTTTTGCGAATTAGATAATTTTTAGATTGCGAAATAAATTTTTTTATTATTTTATTAACTATTAGTATTTATTTATTTATTTAAGAAACAAATGAATAAAAAATAAAAATAATACTAACGAAAAAATAAAAATAATAAACTAATAAATTATTATTAATACTATTATTTATTTATTATTTATTTCTTATTTATTTTCTTATTTGTTTATACATTTGTTTATTTACTAATTTTTTTATATATTCATTTATTTACTTATTGGTTTCGAGATTTAATTTTGAAATATTTGTTTTTAAATTTTGCTTTTAAATAAATAAATAAGTAAATAAATAAATGTGTAAATAAATAAACAAATATATAAACAAATAAGTAATTATTTGTTTTTATATTTATTTCTTTACTCATTAGTTTACAAATTTGAATTTGGAATATTTTTTTTAAATTTTGTTACCAAATAAATAAGTAAAGAAATAAATGAGTAACTAAATAAACAAATATATAAACAAATAAGTAATTATTTGTTTTTATATTTATTTATTTACTTCTTAGTTTCCAAATTTGATTTTAGAATATTTGTTTTTCAATTTTGTTTCCAAATAAATAAATAAATGAGAAAATAAACAAATATATAAAATTATAAACAAATAGGTAATTATTTGTTTATATATTTATTTAGTAATTTGTTTCCTGATTTGATTTTGAAATATTTGTTTTTAAATTTTGATTCTAAATAAATAGACAAGTAAATAATTAAATGAGTAAATAAATAAACAAATATATAAACAAATAAGTAATTATTTGTTTATTTATTTCTTTATTCAAGTAAATAAATAAGTAAATAAACAAATACGTAAACAAATAAATAAATAAATATATAAGTAAATAAACAAATATATAAACAAATAAGCAATTATTTGTTTATTGATTTGTTTATTCGAGTAAATAAATGAGTAAATAAACAAATACGTAAACAAATAAATAAGTAAATAATTAAATGAGTAAATAAACAAATATATAAACAAATAAGTAATTATTTGTTTATATATTTGTTTATTTACTTATTTATTTATTTATTTATTTATTTACTTATGAAATAAAATTTTCTGCTTGAATGTATAACGCGTTAATATTACATATATATAACGCCTATTTTGTCAGAATAAAATTACTGCGATTTCTCTAAATTAAGAATAAAAAAAAAGTTTATAAACCAGACGACTTTATTTGTGTTACGTAATCGTATTAACTCTATAAAGAAATTTAAGATGAGTTCCTGTTTTTTCTAAAGAATTTCTACTCTGCAACCAAACGGTATACAAAAGACAGCACACCATCAGTATACAAAAGAAAAACATTAAAATCATAAAACGCGTATAATAAACTTCCTAATTGCTATTTATGCTCGGAAGCAAAAAAAAAAAAATTCCTTACCTTTTAGAATTTTATGTAAGCCATTGATTCTCCGAGAATATTTTTTTTTTTTTTGCATTTATTCAGATTCTAAACGACGCCCCTTTAGACGTTTATCATCAATTTTCTAGTGAAAACAATGGAAAGTTGGAATATTATTTGAAAATTTGAATAACAATTTCTTTTATTGTATAAAAAATAATTTTGTAGTATTAGTATTTTTTTATATACAATCTTTATTTTTTTCTTAAACAATTTTGTAAATAAGAGAAAAGCTAAAATGTTAATTTAAAGGTAAAAGTAGTCAATTTGATTGGAAAATAAATTAGAAAAATTTTTTTCCCACCAAAAATATTTTTATAATGTAATAATAAAAATATATTTTAATAATAAAAATATATTTTAATAATAAAAATATATTTTTCATTCAGAAGTAAAATTAAATAGTCTGGAATTTTTTAGCATTTTTTATTTTTGCTGAAGTATTGCTAAATTTTTACTGTATTTCGGAAAAAAATTTGTTAATTAAAACTCAAATTTCTTTTTGGAATTGCTAAAAAAGTATGTAATGTAAAAGAAAGTGAGATGGCTCGGTGTCTTTACTACCGAACTCGTAACACAAAGGTCTGGGGTTCGATTCCTCTCGACTGAGTTTTTATGGAAAAAAAAATATAATATATAAAAAAATATATAAGAATAAAATTGTTGATTTTAAATTATTATAAGTAAGTTGAATATTAAATTATAACTAAATAAGTAAAAATTAATAAATGATTCGTAATGTTAATAATTAATAGTAATAATTAATATTAGTAATTAATATTAATAATTAACATTAGTAATTAATATTAATAATTAATATCAGTACTAATATTAATATATTAGTACTGAATATTAGAAATTAATATTAATAATTAATATTAGTAATTAATATTAATAAATAATAGTAATAATTAATATTAGTATTTATAATTAATAATTGTAACTGAAACTGAAATGAACTGAACTTCATTTCGTTTGTGAGAGAATTTTCATGCCCTCTAGGCGGCAATTCAATCAACTATTTTGGCGCCAAATTCAAAAAACGAAAAATCGAATCAACACTATTAATAATATAGAATTAATTAATACTTACAAAAAATAATTTTGTAAATTTTCAGCTAATATTTATAATGTTATACATAATTATTATTTTATCTTTATTATTATATAAAGAGTAGAATTATTGAGAATGGACAAAAAAAATTAAATTTTAGGATTGCAAGGACAGAAGCAACAGCAGGAAGATCCTTGCCAATCGAAGGCGAGAGTCGTGGGTGATATTGAATATTGTGATCGTTATTGGGAATGTGTGAGTGGACGTCCAGAGCTTTTTGATTGTCCAAATGGATTAGTATTCGCTGGCAAGCATCGCGGCGTCACGGAGGGATGTGACTATCCTTGGAGGGCAAATTATTGTGACGATAAACGTCAGGCGAATCCGCCAATTGGCGCCGATCATTGCGATTGGCTCTATGGTATTTTCGGTCACGAGACATCGTGCACAAGATATTGGACATGCTGGAATGGAACTGCCACCGAACAATTGTGCATTGGCGGGCTTCTTTACAATGAGAGGGCACGATCATGCGATTGGCCGGAAAATGTCGATGGTTGCCAGAAACATCGTAAGAAAAATTTTCCAATTCGTTCTTGCTTTTCGCTTTTCATTTTTGCTTTTCTTTTCGCTTTTCTTTTCGCTCATCGTCTTTGCAGTCATAGTTTTTCTAAGAATATCAAATTGAGACAAAAAAACGAATCAAAAATGTTGTAACACAACAATTAAAAAAAAAAAAAAAAAAAAAATGTTTATTGTTTAGAAAAACATTTTTTTTATTTCCAATTAGTCTTCTGTTTCTCTTCTCTTCGTTTATTATTATTTATTTAATATTATTTATTAATAATATTGATAATCAATATTATTTATTAGTAATATTATTATTTTATTTTAATATTATTTATTAATTTATTATTATTTATTATTAAATTCGTATTCCCATTTCGTTTTTTGCTGTTTTCCATCTGCTTATTACTTATTTATTATTATTAATAATTTTTTATTGTCAAATTGGTCCAAAAAAAACATTTTTTCCATTTCCAATTTCGTCTTCTCATTATTAGTAAAAAATTAATTTTAAAAGAAAAAAAAAATGGAGAGATAAAAAAGAGAAAATGCTCTTGCTTGGAGAGAGAAAAATATAATTTTTATTATTAGATGGAAATTTTTTTTTTTTTTTTTTTTTTTTTTTTTATTTATACAAATGAGGCAAATTTTACTGGTGATGAATTCAGTTAGATATGGTTTTACCGGCGCGGGTGTTTTCACTTTTCGAAAGGAAGTCAGATGAATGATCTGTGAGAAATCACTGCACCCGAGTATGAAGTAAATACATGTATATATATAAATATAAAGGCGAGGCAACTAATTAACATTCAATGTACGTTCACGTCGCGCCTTCACGAATATACATTACCTCTATCCCACGCATTATAATTTCGAGGAAGAGAACTTTTGTTTCATTCAAAAACATCGGTGGCCCCCCCTGTGTCCATTTTAATGCACTCACACTCACGCTTTTTTTTATCACTATTCATCATTTCTCCTTTTAATTAGCAACAAAATAGGGGAATTTTTTTTTTTTTTTTTTTGTACAAATTTATCTCTTTTGTTGAACAGAACTATCTGTAAAATTATCTCTCTCTCTCTCTTTTTCTCTTTGTTAATAAAAGTATTCTTTTTATTTCAATTTTTTTCTGTAAATTAAATAATCAATTTTTATTGTTATCCAATAGACGTTTATAATAATAAGAAAAAATATAAAATATCTGTTGACGAAAAAATTTTTTCGTTTCAATTTTTATTCTTGAGAATTAAATAATAAATTTTTATTAATATTCTTGTGAATTAAATAATAACTTTTTATTATTATTTTTGTGAATTAAATATAAATTTTTATTATTATTCTTTTGATTTAGATAATAAATTTTTATTATTATTCAATAGACATAAATAATAAAAATAAAAAATCTCTGTTAGCAAACAAAATTTTTTTATTTCAATTTCATTCTTGTAAATTAAATAATAAATTTTCATTACTTTTCAATAGACATAATTAAATAATAAAAATACGTTTTTGTTATTGTTTAAATTATATTTAAATTTATAAATTTGTTTCAAACTTGTATTTTTTATAACAGAAAATATTCAATTTTGAAAATTTATTTCTAATTTCAATTTTTTATGAATGAAAATATTTAAATTCGCAAATTTATTTCTAACTTCAATTTTTATTTATGAATAAAAATATTTAATTTCGCAAATTTATTTCTAACTTCAATTTTCTTTACGAATGAAAATATTTAAATTAGTAAATTTATTTCTAATTTCAATTTTTTATTTTGGAATGAAAATATTTAAATTCGCAAATTTATTTCTAACTTCAATTTTTATTTATAAATAAAAATATTTAATTTCGCAAATTTCTTTCTAACTTCAATTTTCTTTATAAATGAAAATATTTAAATTATTCGTAAATTTATTTCTAATTTCAATTTTTTTTATAAATGAAAATAATTAAATGAAATAATTTAAAAATGATAAATATTTAAATAAAGAAAGAACTGTCTACACCCAGAAAAAAAGATAAATTTTTTCTCAGAGTATACTAAAATTTTTATGTGGTTTAAATAAATTTTATTTGGTTCAAATAAAAATTTTGTTTTTTATATTGACTAAAATTTGTATTTAAATAAAAAAATTGACCAATTGTTTAAATAATTTCCTAGATTTAATAATCCAGTAGAGACAAATGTACTACTTTTACTTAACTCAAATAAATTATATTTGATTCGAATAAAATTTTTCTCTGTATAAATAAAGAAATTATATTTAATTAAGATATTTAATAATTTTTTTATAACTAAAAAAATGAATAAATTGGTTACGAAATGAGAAAATTGTTTATAGGAAAAGAGAAAAAATTTAGTACATTTTTTTATAAATAAGAAAGTAAACAAATTGACTAAAAATGGAAGAAAAATTTATAAAAAAAATAGAAGAAATTTAGTAATTTGTTTATAAACGAAAAAATTAACTAATTGGTTGCAAATAAAAATATTATTCAAATAAAATTTTTCTCTGGCTGTAAAAATAAATTATTTGTATAAGAGCAAAATTAGTAATTTGTTAATAAATATCTAATAAAAAAATTAACAAAAATTGCTTACAAATAAAAAAATTGTTTATTTTTTTAGAAAATTTAGTAATTTATTTATCAATGAAAAAATATGTTATAAATTAAAAAATTGTTTATAAGAAAATAGAAGAGATATAGTAATTTGTTTAAAAGTAAAAAAATTAACAAAAATTGATTACAAATTAAAAAATTATTTATTTTTTTAGTAAATCTAGTAATTTGTTTATTAATGAAAAATTGGTTGCAAATGAAAAAATTGTTTATAAAAGAAGAGAAGAAATTTAGAAATTTGTTTATAAATGAAAAAATTAACAAATTTGTTGAAAATGAAAAAATCGTTCACAAGAGAAGAGAAAAAATTTAGTGAATTTAACAAATAAAAAAATTATCAAAAATTGCTTATAAATGAAAAAAATGTTATAAAAATGAAAAGATTGTTTATAAGAGTGTAAAAATTTGTAACAAATTCAAAAATTGTTCATTTTTTCAGTAAATTTAGTAATTTGCTTATAAATGAAAAAATTAACAAACTAGTTGCAAATGGAAAAATCGTTTACAAGAGAAGATAAAAAATTTAGTGAATTTAATAAATAAAAAAATTAACGAAAATTGCTAACAAATGAAAAAATTGTTTATGAGGGAGGAAAATTTATTTATATTAATTTGTTTATAAATGAAAAATTATTCAAATTTGTATGAAATTAAAAAAATGTTTTTTTAGTAAATTTAGTAATTTGTTTATTAATGAAAAAATTGGTTGTAAATGAAAAAATTTTTATAGAGGAAGAGAAGAAATATATTAATTTGTTTATAAATAGAAAAAATTAACAAATTTGTAACAAATTAAAAAATTGTTAATTTTTTTTAGTAAATTTAGTAATTTGTTTATTAATGAAAAAATTGGTTGTAAATGGAAAAATTGTTTATAAAAGAAGAGAAGAAATTTATTAAATTATTGGTAAATGAAAAAATTAACAAATTAAAAAAAATGTTTTTTTTGTCAATTTAGTAAATTGTTTATTAATAAAAAAAATTGGTTGCAAATGAAGAAATTATTTATAAAAGAAAAGAAGAAATTTAGTAATTTGTTTACAAATGAAAAAATTAACAAATTTGTTGCAAATGTGAAAATCGTTAATTTTTTTGTAAATTTAGTAATTTGTTTATTAATAAAAAAATTGGTTGCAAATTTAAAAATTGTTTATTTTTTTAGTAAATTTAATAATTTATTTATAAATGAAAAAATTAACAAATTTTTTGCAAATGTAAAAATCGTTCACAAGAGAAGAGAAAAAATTTAGTGAATTTAATAAATAAAAAAAATTAACAAAAATTGCTTATAATTGAAAAAATTGTCTAGAAATGAAAAAAATGGTCTAATAATGAAAAAAATGGTCTATTAATGAAAAAAATGGTCTATTAATGAAAAAATTGTCTAAAAATGAAAAAAAATGTTCAAAAATAAAAAAAAAATGGTCTAAAAATGAAAAAAATCGTCTACTAAGGAAAAAAATGTCTAATTACGGAAAAAATGGTCTAAAAATGGAAAAAATGGTCTAACAATGAAAAAATTGTCCAAAAATGAAAAAAAAAAATGTCTAAAAATGAAAATTTTCAGCTCTGTGCAATAAGGACGCGAATGGAAATGTTCCATTGGGAAAATCGTGCAATCGCTATTGGCAATGCCAAGGTGGCTATCCACGTTTACAGAGATGCCCGGCAATGTTGGTATTCGATAGGCGATCATTGAGATGCGTTGTCCCGCCAACGGAGGATTGCGATGTGCCAACAACACCGCCAACACTCGACGGCGATTTGCCCGATGACCTCAATCAACAAGTGCCAGAGGAGGAAAATCTCCCACCTGGAATAGCGTCACTCCCCTCGGGATCTCTACCCCTGCCCGTACGACCCCGCAATAGAAATTAAATATACCTCTAATTATTAATTATTATTATTATTAATTATTAATTATTAATTATTATTTTTATTCGAAAAATCGTTATTTCCTACTGTAGCAGTGAAAACAAGAATTTTTTTTCCTCTTCAATCAAATATTTTTATAGTCCATATGATTCGAAATGGAAATTAGAAAATTTTCCATTAAATATAAAAAAAATTGTTACTTTTTTATTTTTGGTGAAAAGTATTTTCCATTTTTGTTAAAAAGTATTTTTTATTGAAAAGTATTTTTTATTTTTTCAATGAAAAATGTTTTCTTTTTTTTTCTTGTAAAGTATTTTTTTATTGAAAAGTATTTTTTATTGAAAAGCATTTTTTTATTGAAAAGTATTTTTTATTGAAAAGTATTTTTTATTCTTGATAAAACCACTTTTTTCTGCTAAAGAGTATTTTTTTATTTTTAATAAATAATGTACTTTTTATTTTTGCTTAAAAGTATATTTTATTTTTTGATAAATAGTATTTTTTATTCATGATAAAATTACTTTTTATTTTTTAATAAATAGTATTTTTTGATGCTTTTTATTTTTGCTAAAAAATACTTTACATTTTTTTCATAAAAAGTATTTTTATTTTTGATAAAAAGTTATTTTTACTGTTACAAAAAAACAGTTTTTTACTTGTTGATAAAAACCATTTTTACTTTTTGTTAAAAACTATTTTCCCCAAGTTTGTTATGATAAAATACAAATTAAAAAAGAATTTTAGATTTTTCATATATTTTCAATTGCTCTCATAATTTTTTTTTTTTTTTTTTTTGAAAATATCAATTTTTAATCCAAATTTTAAATAAAAAAAGAAGAATAAATATCAAAAGTAAAAATAAATAAAAATTTTATTAAAAACTAAAATAAATAGAAATATTTTTATAAAATCAAAAAAAAATTTCATTAAAAAATAAAAAAAAATTTCATTAAAAAATAAAATAAAAATTTTATTAAAAAATAAAACAAAAAATATCAAAAAGGTAGCAAAAAACAGCAGGAAAAAAAATGTTGATAAAAAATTATTCTCCCTTAAAATTAAAAATGAAAGAAAAGCCACTAAATTAATATAAGTTGTTATTTTTTTTTCTTGTTATAAAAGACTTTGAGAACACGGAACTTTTTCTTTAAGAGGAATGCGATAATTAATTATTGAAGATTATTACCTTCGTTTTAATAGGAATTAAGTTTATAAATATAAATAATTTTTAATAGAGTTTTTTTTCTCTATTGTACGTTTAGATTTTTCTCATATCAATTTTTTTAAATATTCGCTTTTCATTATCGCCAATCGAAATGTAAATATTTCCCCCTCTCTCTCCATCTGCTTTTGCAAAAAAAAAAAACTGTACGCAATTCATAGTCCTTTTAGAATCATTTTTTATGGAAATAAAGTGTAATGTTGTATATTTTTTTATACCTAAGCCTAAAATGAAGTTTTTTAATTTCTTTATTCCACCTCTGAAATATCTCACAATAGGAAAAAATATTTTTAATTTTTCCATCATTTTTCACGAAAGGAAAAAATATTTGCAATTTTTCCATCATTTTTCACGAAAGGAAATAAATATTTGCAATGTTCCATCATTTTTCACGAATGGAAAAAATATTTGCAATGTTCCATAATTTTTCACGAATGGAAAAAATATTTTCAATTTTTCCATCATTTTTTACGAAAGAAAAAAATATATTTTAAAATTAGTAAACGAAAAAAGAAAATCGATTCTTTCAATATTAAGAATTTCTTTTTAAAGAAAGAAAATTCTTTTTAATTAAGAAAAGATTTTTCTTTAAATTAGTAAAAGAAAAGAATCGTTTTTCCTTAATTTACAGTATTTTTTTTATTGAAAGAAAGTATTTTTTTAAACCTAAACAAAAAAGAAAATCGTTTCTTAATTAAAAAAGGATTTTCATTTTTAAAAAAAAAAGAAAAGAAAAAAAATGAAAATAAAAAGAAATTGTTTTTGTAAATTGAAAAAAAATTTATTTTAGTAAAAAGAAAAAAAATTGTTCCAGAAGTTTCAAAAATTAGTAAACAAAACCCTCACAGCACCGGGATATTCAGGATATCCCAGAGACGTCCTGGGGATATCGATTTGTTTTCGGAAGTTTGGATATCCCTGGATTATCCTCTGGATATCCATGGACGTCCCTAGGATATCCCAGAGATATCCAAACTTCCGAAAACAAATCGATATCCCCAGGACGTCTCTGGGATATCCTGAATATCCCGGTGCTGTGAGGGAAAAAATAATTCTTAATTTTTCTTTTTTTCAATTGAGAAAAAATAATAATTTCCTTCATATTAAAGGGAGAAAATTTATTATTGAAAAAAATATATTATATAAAAATATTTGCATTTTCATTTAAATAGTTTTTTTTATAAACATAAATAGAGACAAATTCGTTCTATATTATAAATTGTTCTATGTGACAGGAATTTATTTACAAGTTGAAAAAAGGAATTTCGAAAGACTGCTGTGGTTTTTCCTCAGAGTTTATGATTTTTGCTGTTGGAGCTCCGATTTAGTTTGTTTTCTCTTCATTTTTAAAGATTATTGGCACTGAAATTAAAAAAACAGAAAATTTTTTATTATTTTAAATATTTTATTATTATTTATTTATAGGTAATTCAATATTGAAAATAATACTATTCTATTATTAAAATAAAAATATTAAAAGAAAATTTTTCTTTTAATCGAGAGGAAAATTAGCTATTAATTAATTCATAGAAAATATTTTTCTTTTAATCGAGAGGAAAATTAGCTATTAATTAATTCATAGAAAATATTTTTCTTTTAATTCGAGAGGAAAATGAACTATTAAAATTATTTAATAGAAAATTTGTCTTTTAATCGATAGGAAAATTAACTATTAATTAATTAATAGAAAATATTTTTCTTTTAATTCGAGAGGAAAATTAAATATTAATTAATAGAAAATTTTTCTTTTAATCGAAAGGAAAATTAGTTATTAATTAATTTATAGAAAATATTTTTCTTTTGATTCGAGAGGGAAATTAACTATTAATTAATCAATAGAAAATTTTTCTTTTAATTCGAGAGGAAAATTAAATATTAATTAATAGAAAATTTTTCTTTTAATCGAAAGGAAAATTAGTTATTAATTAATTTATAGAAAATATTTTTCTTTTGATTAGAGAGGGAAATTAACTATTAATTAATCAATAGAAAATTTTTCTTTTAATTCGAGAGGAAAATTGACTAATTCTTACTCAATATTATTGATAATAATAATTTAAGGAATAAACATTAAAAATAATATAATAGAAAATAAAAAAAATTACTTTAAATAATTATTATTTTCTCGTATAGAAGAAGAAATAAAGTTATTTTTGCTCCTAATTAATAATTCATTAATATTGAGAAAATATTGATGAGGGAAGAAAATAAAAAGCACTGACCAGTGTGGAAGTTCGTCCGGTTCCAAACAACTTAGAGTCTCGGAATCAAAAAGTTTTCCATCGCCACAGGTGATAAGTCGTGGGTGGCCTTCGACGCATGTAATTAATCTTCCACAATCACCAGGAACTGGAAATCTAAGACCAGAAATATATGTAACGTTAAACTTGAAATAAAACATCTTATTAGAATTTATAATCTCAGATATTAAAAAATCTAGTGAAACGTGAGAATGAGAAATAAATTTTTAAATATAAAAATAAATAATTTTTTCTATAAAAACTTTATTATTATTTTTATTATTATTTTTTTAATATTATATTTTTTAATAAATAAATTTAATTTTCTTTAATTGAAAATAATAATAATTTATTATTATTTTTTAATAAATAAATTTAATTTTGTTTCAATTAAAATAATAATAATTTATTATTATTTTTCAATAAATAAATTTTGTTTCGTTTAATTTAGACACTGCAGTCACTATTTAATTTTTTAAAATTATTTTTTCAAGTTTAAGACTTGCAAAAAAAAAAAAAAATTGAAATGAAAAATGTAGAAAAACAATAGAGAAAATGAAACAAAATGGTTATTACAATTTAAAATCGAAAATTAATTAAAAAAAAGGAAAAACCTTGGGAATGGCCAGAATTTAGCAGCGGCAGTGTGAGCTGGTACTTTTTTCGGGCACTTAAATCCAATGACTTGCTCGGGATTACAGAATGGAATCATTTGATCGGGCCAAACGCATGTGTGTGATTTGTCATCGTAAACTAAACCTGCATCACAATGCTCCTGACGTGGTTCACCGTGCACGCATTTTATGTAGGTTTGACTGCAAGAATCACTGTCGGGATACATTCCAAATTGATATTCACATCCTGGAGAACTCAATGGTGTCACTGAGGAAATAATAACATAAATTATTTTTTCGAAAATTCAAACGGAATTATTAAAATTAATAATGAAAAAAGTAATATTAAAATTAAATTTAAAACTAATATTTAAATTAAATATTAGAATTAATACACCCAGAGAAAAATTTTATTTATAAATTTATTTAATTATTATTGTTTATAATAAAATAATGCTTTTTTCTATAACAAATTTCGTTTGACTGATCTAAATTATAATTATTCTCCTTTTTATTTATAAAAAATACTAGAAAATTGTTAATTGTTAAAAAATTTTTATTAAGAAGTAGGAAATATACCCATTTTATGCATAATTTTTATTTCTCAATAACAATATTGTTTACAAACTCATTTTTTTCATTTTTGAAAGAAAAACATTAGATATTCCCGTCACTTAATATTTTTGTAGAAAATTCTCAATTTTTAGAAGGAAATAATTTGCATCAATTCTATTTCTTAATTTCAATTGTTTTTAAAAAATTCAGTTTTTTAAAAATACAGGAAACAAATGTTTATATATTTTATTTGTCAATTAGAAAATTGAATTGAAAATGAAACTGAAAATTTTTGAATTTTTTGAAAAGAAAGGAAAAAATTTTATTGAAAAAAATTTTCTGTTAAATTTATTTACAAATATCTTTAATTGTAAAATTATTCAAAAACAATAATTTCTTTTTTAAATATTTAATTATTATTTTTCCATAGGAATTAAGATATTCAAATTCAAACCTTTTTCAAATTAATTAACTTTAAAAAAATATTGTTACTGTAAATTCTTAAAAATTACTTTTATATTCAATTATTATTATCTAGAATTTAAACTAAAATTAATTTGAAAATTAATTTTTATTAAGAAATTCTACGAGAATTCAATTATTTAAATACAAAAGTAAATTATTTATTGAATAATTGAATTTTTCTTAAATTTTAATTCTTATAAAAAATTTTATTAACAAATTTTTAAATAATTGAATTTTTTTGACGAATTTTAAAAAAATTTCAAAATAGTTACATTTTTCAAGGAATTTGATTAAAATTGTATTAAAAATAATTGAACATCTCCGATGAGTTTTATTATTTCTGAAAATAATTGAATTATTCAGAAGAAACTTATAAAAAATTTGTAAATATTTGAATTCCTGTGAAATTTTGATTATTTATGAAAATAATTTAATGTTTGCGACTTGCGTACAATTTTTTTAAAATTGTTTTTCAATAATTAAATTCTATTGGGTAATTTTATTAAAATGGTTAGATATTGAAAATCATTGAAATGAGGAAATTTTTTGAAAATAATTGAAATTTTGATAAGAATTTTATTAAAATTTTAGAAATTAATTGAATTTTGAAGAATTTTTTTTATTTATAAAGATAATAATTGGGATTTTGTCGAAATATTTTTGGTAAATTTTGAACATAATTGAATTTTGTGATAAGAATTTTATTACTTTTGAAAATAATTGAATTTCTGCAATCATTTTTGTAACTTTTTCAAAATTCAATTTTTTTTAGTGTTTTTAACTAAAATTCTTCTATAAATCCATTATTTTTAATAATTATTTAAATATATATTGACTATCCACAAATTTAACTAATTTTAGAAGATTTTGAATTATTAAAATTTTTCAAAAATCTTAGTTCATTGAAATTTCTAATTAAATTCATTTAACATTGAAATTTTGAATTTTGTAAAATTTCAAAATGAAATTGTTTGAAGTTCATTTATTTATGAAAATTGTAAACGCAATTTTTTTAAAATTGAATTAATTTTGATATATTTAAGTAAAATTATTCATTAAATAATTTAGTTATTTTATGTTAGGTGTTCAAGATTTAAGTTATTTATTAAGAAATTTTTGTCAGAATGCTAATATTATAATTAATTTTAGAACTTATATTAAAATTAATTTCAAAATTTGTTTTCAAAGTTTACATTCAGAAAAATGTCTGCCATGATATAAGGAAGAATTTATAATACAATTAGCGTTCTTTTTTTCTGCAACAAAAGGAAATAATTAAATTTAAAATCGAGAGAATGTTTTCTTTGTTTGGAATACAATAGTTGATTTACGATAGCATTAAATTGTGCAATAAATGAAGGAAGCAGATTATGGAGTATGGAGAAAGTCTTTCTGAAAAATTAAGTCATATTATAGTTGAATTTCAGCTCTTAAAATTAGATTACAATGGTAATTGATGCATTCATTGACAATTGCTTTGATGTAATGCAGTGTTTTATTCAAATTTTAAACTCTATACTTACTTATCTCTTTTTTTTCTGTGCGTACAGGAAAGATATTTTCGCTCCGCAATTATTTAATTTAATTTTTTTATATGTTAATTATTTCTTTATTTTATTTATTTCCATTATAAAAATTATTTTATTTATTTTCATTATTAAATTTATTTTATTTATTTTCATTATTAAATTTATTTTATTTATTTTCATTGTTAAATTTATTTTATTTATTTTCATTATTAAATTTATTTTATTTATTTTCATTATTAAATTTATTTTATTTATTTTCATTATTAAATTTTTTTATTTATTTCATTTATTATATTTATTTTATTTATTTTTACATATTCTCATCAAAAATGAGGTCTTGTTTTTTTAGAGAATTACGATTTGAGAAAAAAATGTTTCCGCTTGGTAATTATTTATTACCATTATTATAATTTTGTGTTGAAAAAAATTTACTTTTTATGAAAATAATAGGTTCCTATAATACTTTTTCAATTTGAATTTTGTTCCACAGAATTTTTTATCAAATTAAAAAAGAAATGTTTTTGATATTGAAAAATTCTTCTGCCTTATTGTCATATTGCACATTCAGTAGTAAAAGTAAATATCAGTCAGACAGTGATATAGAAGAAGATACGTTGTACAATAATTAAAATTATGCACAGAAAATATTCTACAAACATTTTTTTTTAAAAATAAATTCTTTTCAAGATTATAAAATATTTTCATTAAATATTTGTTCATAATTTCGGTAAATTCTACTCTTAAATTAAAAATGGATTGTTAATTAACAAAAATTTGAATATTAATTAGCAGTTTATAAAAATTTAGTCAATTTAATTTTAGAAGTATATTAACTTTGAAATTAATTGTAAGTAGGTCATTAATTACTAGCGGGAAATTAATTAGAAGTAGGTCATTAATTACTAGCGGGTAATTAATTATAAGTAGGTAATTAATTACTAGGTGTTAATTAATAATAAGTAGGTAATTAATTACTAGCGGGAAATTAATTGTAAGTAGGTAATTAATTACTAGCGGGAAATTAATTGTAAGTAGGTAATTAATTACTAGCGGGAAATTAATTAGAAGTAGGTCATTAATTACTAGCGGGTAATTAATTATAAGTAGGTAATTAATTACTAGGTGTTAATTAATAATAAGTAGGTAATTAATTACTAGCGGGAAATTAATTGTAAGTAGGTAATTAATTACTAGCGGGAAATTAATTAGAAGTAGGTCATTAATTACTAGCGGGTAATTAATTATAAGTAGGTAATTAATTACTAGGTGTTAATTAATAATAAGTAGGTAATTAATTACTAGCGGGAAATTAATTGTAAGTAGGTCATTAATTACTAGCGGGTAATTAATAATAAGTAGGTAATTAATTACTAGCGGGAAATTAATTAGAAGTAGGTCATTAATTACTAGCGGGAAATTAATTAGAAGTAGGTCATTAATTACTAGCGGGTAATTAATTATAAGTAGGTAATTAATTACTAGGTGTTAATTAATAATAAGTAGGTAATTAATTACTAGCGGGAAATTAATTGTAAGTAGGTAATTAATTACTAGCGGGTAATTAATTATAAGTAGGTAATTAATTACTAGCGGGAAATTAATTAGAAGTAGGTCATTAATTACTAGCGGGTAATTAATTATAAGTAGATAATTAATTACTAGGTGATAATTAATAATAAGTAGATAATTAATTACTAGCGGGAAATTAATTGTAAGTAGGTCATTAATTACTAGCGGGTAATTAATTATAAGTAGATAATTAATTACTAGGTGATAATTAATAATAAGTAGATAATTAATTACTAGGTGGTAATTAATAATAAGTAGATAATTAATTACTAGGTGGTAATTAATAATAAGTAGATAATTAATTACTAGGGGGTAATTAATTACTGGTGGGTAATTAATTACTAGGGGGTAATTAATTACTGGTGGGTAATTAATTACTAGGGGGTAATTAATTTCTAGTAAGTTGTAATAATTACCTAGTAGTTAATTAGCAACAGTTGTTAACAAGCAATTATTTTTCCTGCATAATTTCAAGGAAGGAGTATTTTTTAAGGGGAAGGGGGGTGGGGGGTGATTTTTGAGAAAATACCTACAATCGAATTTGCGATGACCACAATCAACTCCCCAGTGATAATTGCAGTGTTGGTGAACGTTGCCATGACCGTCGAATAGAAGACCATTTTCACAATGCTCCAGGGTCAAACTGCCATTTGTGCACAAGAAAAAGGCGTTACAACTGTCCGGATGTGGATACGCTTGTTCGCCATATAAATCCGGACATTGCGGTGCTCCCAAAAGCACTGGTCCATGTGGTGAAATTGATAAACTCGTACCTGTTAATATTATAAATCAGATTCTTTTCTTTAAATGTATATTTCATTAAATTCACTTACCTACTTACAGTTAAGTAGTTATTCTAAAAAAATTCTATTTCAATTCCTCAAAAAAAATTGATTATTTAAAAAAGATGTTTTTTTTGTAAAATTCTTTAGAAGAATTAAATTATTAACAAAAAATATTAGAATTTTTCACAGCAATTCAATTATTATTTTCAAATATTTTAATAAAATTTTTCGCAATAATTCAATTATTTTTAATACAATTTTACAGGAATTGCAGAAAACAATTACAATTTACAATTCTTTGGAAGAATTCAATTATTTTAAATACAATTTTAATTAAATTCTTTCGAAATAATTCAATTTTTCTTTTAGATTTTAATAAAATTCTGCACAAGAATTCAATTGTGTCGATAAATAACAAAATTATTCCTGAAAATTCAATTATTTTGAGGAATTTTAATTCAAGAAGAATTCAATTATTTTTTAAAGTAGGTAATAAATTTCTTCTTGAAAATTCAATTATTTTTAAAAAATTCTTATAAAATCGTTCGCAAAAATTAAAATATTTTTATAAATAATAAAATGCTTTTTAGGAATTTCAATTATTTTCAAAAAAAAAAAATTTAATAAAATAACACATAGATATTTAATTATTGTCAAAAATTTTAATAGAATATTTTAATAAATTGTAAAATTTAATTATTTTTAAAAACTTTTCGCAATTTAATGATTTTTAATATTTGTTTTAATTCTTTGGAAGAATTCAATTATTTACAAAAATATTAGAAAGAAATCAATTATTTTGAATATAATTTTAATTAAATTCTTTGAAAAAATTCAATTATTATTATTGTAATCAAATTTTTTTTCAAAATTCAATTATTTTCATAAATAGTAAAATTCTTCTTAGGAATTAAATTATTTTTGAAAATTTTAATAAAATTTTTTGCGACTATTCAATTATTTTCATAAATATTCAAATTCATCGCAGGATTTCAATTATTTTTCATAAAATTTTACAGGAATTGCACAAAAAATGTAATTATTCTTAAAAATTTAATTTCAATTCCTCGAAAAAATCGAAAATTAAAAAATATGTTTTTTTTAAATTCTTTCGAAGAATTCAATTATTTACAAAAATATTAAAATTTTTCACAGAAATTCAATTATTTTAAATATAATCTTAATTAAATTTTTTTGAAATAATTCAATTATTCTTTTAGATTTTAATAAAATTCTTCACAAGAATTTAATTATTTACAAAAATAATTCTTCCAAAGAATTCAATTATGTGATTATGTCGATAAATAATAACAAAATTATTTCCAAAAATTCAATTATTTTGAAGCATTTTAATAAAATTCTTTTTCAAAAATTCAATGATTTTCATAAATAACAATATTTATCACAAGAATTCAATTTTTTTTTATAAATAACAATATTCATTAAAAGAATTCAATTATTTTTATAAGTAATAAATATTTTTTTAGAAATTCAATTATTTTAAAAATTCTAATAAAATCGTTCGCAAAAATTCAATTATTTTCATAAATAATAAAATACTTTTTAGGAATTCAATTATTTAAAAAATAAATTAAAATAACACACAAACATTTAATTATTGTCAAAAATTTTAATAGAATTCTTTGTAAAATTTCAATTATTTTTAAAAACTTTTCGCAATTCATTGATTTTTAATATCTACTATTGTCATAAAATTTACAAACAGAATTCAATTATTTAAAAAATTGTTTATAACAATCTTTGCTAGAATTCAATTCTTTTTATGAATAATAAAAATTTCTCAGGAATTCAATTATTTAAATTAAAATTTGCATAAAATTAGTCGAAAGAAATTAATTATTGAAAAATTTTAATAAAATTCTTCGTATGAATTAAATTATTTTTATAAACATTTAAATTCTTTCATGCTCTCTAAATTTGAATTCGTAAAAATGTTTACTAATTTGAATTAGTGACTGACTTTTTGCTTTTGAATTAGTAAATGTTACTAATTAATAGTAATTTCTACTAATTTATTAGTAAAATTTACTAATTCCAAAGCAAAAAATCAGTCACTAATTCAAATTAGAAATCATTTTTACTAACTAGAATTTAGAAAATGAATAATAAAATTCGTGGCAGGAATTAAATTTATTATTAGGATAAGAAAGGAGTAAATATTCTTTTATGAAAATTAGGAAAAAGTCGAGAAAATAAAATTTGGAATGGAATCTTTGTCAGTTTTGTGAAGTGTCTAAAACGAGTTTTTTTGGTCGTCAAATTTAATTTTTCGTTAGCTACTTTTTTATTATTTTTTTTTAGCATGAAAGCTACTTTTTGCTACTTTTTTAAAATTTATTATCGAGTGCGAAGTCTGTATTATCATTATTATTATTATTACTGTTATTAATGATTAAAAAATGTATTATTACCAATATTTAATTATTATTAAAATTTTAATTTAAAAATAAGATTTGAATGTTCTCTTTTTATTCACGTCAAGGGAAGACAGATTAAAAAGTAACTCATTTCACAACAGATCGAAATCCATCTCAATACATATATATTATATATGCCTCTAATTTTTGAAATAATTCTAAACTTTCATTCTATAATAATATTTCGAAACAAAAACCGTTACCTCAAAAGAATAAAATAATAAAACTCAAAATAATAAATAATATGCCAAAGAATAAAAGAATTAAATTACCTACATGAATAAATATTTTTGTTTTAATTAATAAATCAATTTTCGTTTGTAATTTTAAAATTAAAAAAAAAATTGTATTTAATTTTCGAAGGACAATTTATAAAATTATAAATATAATGTAACCATATGGAAACATGATTTTTTTTAAAGTCGGCGACACACAGTGAAAGCGACTCCTGCGACTTGAGAATTCCTACTTATTTCGTAACACGGTGTGCGAGTCTATATAGATTGTTGTGTTGTGTATAATATATAAAATGAAAGAATTGTCGACTATACACTTATATTATATGGTTATATGTGCATTCAGTTAACCCCCCCGATTTGAGAATGACACCCCAACCATCCAGGAAGAAATTCTCCTGCATATACGTGTGGGATGCATCTGAATGCGCTCTCGCAGTAGTTGTCGACATTTCGTGTCAACAACATGTGTCTAATTTTTTTTTTCAATTATATATTTTAAAATTTACAATTATTACAATTATTTTTCGCATACTCGAAAGAAAAATACCTTTTAATATTTTAATTCCAAATTATTATACTTTATAATTATATTTTAAAGAAACAAACATTCATTTTTTTCATATCTATAAATAAGGTGAGATTTTTTCATAGAGAAAAAAAAATTTATTTAACTGTGCTTTAAAAATAAAACCGTTAAAATGTTCGACAAAACGACTTTCCTTTTCAACATTCTATTTAGTCCTTCGTTCAGTGCTCTTTATTAAAAACATTTTATATTGTTGAGATTTATTTATAATTATAGTAAAAATAATAATAATAATTATGGTAAATATAATAATAATAATTATAGTAAAAATAATAATAATAACAACAATAATAATAATTAGTTAATAATAATTTATTAATATTTATTTATAACATTTCAAACTTGAATTCATTACTCGGTGGTAATTATAATAATTATTATTTATTACTATATTTATAATAATTATTTATGTATATTTATTTATAATATTTGATATTTGATATCATAGTTGAATTTATCACTCGGCGGTAATTATAATAATTATTATCCATTACTACATTCATAATAATTATTTATTATTATAATTATAATTGTTATTTATTATTAAAATTCGAGTTATTATTTATAATTAAAATTATTTATTTATTTGTATATATAATTATATATTATAATTATAATTATATATTTCTATATTCATATAATTATAATAATAATAATTATTATTATTATTATTATTATTATTATTATTATTATTTTGCAACTGTCGCTAATTAAAAATTTAATTTTCTTTTATTTGAAAAACCGTTTATTTTTCAGAAGAATTTCCCTTTTAAATAAAAATAAACTAAGAAAAATTTCCCTTTTAAATAAAAAATAAACTAAGAAAAATTTCCCTTTTAAATTAGTTTTTTCTAAGGATATCAAATTGAGACAAAAAACGTAGCAAAATTGTTGCGAAGCAACATTTTAAAACGTTTTTGGTCACAATTTGATGTCCTTATAGAAAAACTGTTCGCTGCACTTTCGTATTTTTGAGAAAAAAAAATTCTTTCCGTTTGAAAAAAAAAAATGTCATGAAATGTAAATTTTTTAATTTACTATAATTCGTTTTTTATTGAAAAATAAAATTCCCTTTTTTTGTATAAAATACTTTTTTTTTGTATGAAATACTTTTTTTGTATGAAAAATACTCTTTTGGACGAAAAATACTCTTTTGAACGAAAAATACTCTTTTGAACGAAAAATACTCTTTTGACCGAAAAATACTCTTTTGGACGAAAAATACTCTTTTGACCGAAAAAAACTCTTTTTGGAAGAAAAATACTCTTTTGACCGGAAAAAAACTCTTTTTGGAAGAAAAATGAAAAAAAATTTGTTTGATTGGAAAATAGAAGAAAATCTTTTTTTTGTATGAAAAAGAAAAAAATCTTTTTTTGTATGGAAAAGAAGAAAACTTATTTTTTTTTTTTGTATGGAAAATTTTTTTTTGTATGAAAAAAATTTTTTTTTTGTATGAATGCGCATGACTTAGTTTTGTGTTAGGAAGGAGAACAGGAAGTGTGTGTGTGTAAAGCTACTTACAAGTGGAAAATATGGCCGACAGGACCAATAGGGTCACACTACTTAAAGAGTTCATGGTTCGGTCTACGCTGTACGGACTGTAACTACTGAAGTTGAACTGAAGTAACAACGCAAAGGCCCCACCCTGGCACCTCCACTTTTACAGTATTTACATTCTCGTCAGACTTCGGCTATATGTCCGAAGTCACTCGAGCAATGTCATCATGTAAATCAAAATTCTTATCTCTCTAAACGTTCATATATTTTTTAGACAAATTATATAAATTTCCCTTTCATTTCGGATGTGAACGACTTTTTTTTCTCACTTTCATCAATTTTCTTCTTTTCTCTAAGTATTTCTTCATGAAAATTTACATTTTTTCCTCCTATTTACTTATTTACGCATTATATTTACCTATTTCGTCTCATTTACTTCTTTCCTCTTATTTACTTATTTCCTCTTCTTATTTAATTAATTGTATTTAATTGTATTTAAATAGACTTATTTTAAAAACCGTAAAAGTTATTTTCATTATCACTTGTTATGGGAAAATGACTCTTACGATTTTCTCAGTTGAGCCATTTTCAAAATTCATGATTCGATTAATTAGTAGTAAAATTAGTAGGTAATAAATGCAATTAATTAGTAATAAAACTAAGATTAAAATTAAATTAAATTAAAATTACAATCGATAATAAAATTATTAGTAAATATAATTAATTAGTAGTTAAATTAGTAGTAAAAATAATTAATTAGTAGTTAAATTAGTAGTAAAAATAATAACAAGTATAATTAATTAATAGTAAATTCAAAAGAGTAGTAGCAAAATTAGTATTAAATACTAAATAGTAGCTAAATTAGTAGTTAAATTAGTAGTAAAAATAATAAAAAGAAAAATTAATTAGAAGTAAATTCAAAAAAGTAGTATCAATACTAATTAGTAGTCAAGTTAGTAGTAAAAATAATAAAAAAGTATCATTAATTAGCAGTAAATTCAAAGACGTAGTAGCAATACTAATTAGTAGTTAAATTAGTAGTAAATATAATTAATTAGTAGTTAAATTATTAGTAAAATTAATAACAAGTAAAATTAATTAGTTGTAAATTCAAATTAGTAGCAAAATCAGTATTAAATACTAATTAGTAGTCAATATAATTAATTAGTAGTAAAATTAATAACAAGTATAATTAATTAGTAGTCAATTTAAATAAGTAGTAGCAAAATTAGTATTAAATACTAATTAGTAGTTTAACTAGTAGTAAACGTAATTAACTAGTAGTTAAATTAGTAGTAAAATTAATAACAAGTATAATTAATCAGTAGTAAATTCAAATAAGTAGTAGCAAAATTAGTATTAAATACTAAATACTAAATTAAATATTAATTAGTAATAAAATTATTAGTTCACATAAGTCATTAGTAGTAAAAGTAGTGACAAGTATAATTAATCATTAATAAAATTAGTAGTAAATATTGTTAATTAGTGATAAAATTTAGAGTAAATACAATTAATTAATAATACAATTAGTAGTAAATAAGTAAATAAGATAAAGTAAATAAATAAATTAGTAGTAACATTCGTAGTGAACAAAATCAATTCATCATAAAATTAGTAGTAAAAAGATTAGTAGAAATTAATTAGTAATTAGTAGAGAAATTAGTATTAAATAGAAATACAGTTTATTAGTAAAAAAAATTATTACCATTTACAATTAATTAATAATGAAATTAGTAATAAATACAATTAATTAGTAGTAAATATTATGAATTAGTACCGAATTCAATTAGTAGAAAATACAATTAATTAGTAAAAAAAAATTAGTTGCAAATACAACTAATTAGTAATACAATTGGTAAATAAATGTTGCCTATAAATAAAAATATATAAATAAATAAAATAAGGTAAATTAATTAATTGATTGTAAAATTCGTAGTAAATAAAATTAATTCATCATCAAATTAATAGTAAAAGAAATTAGTAGAAGTTAATCAGTAATTAGAAAAATTCGTAGTAAATAAAATCAATTCATCATAAAATTAAATATTAATTGTAAAAATATTAGTTGAAATTAATTAGAAATTAATAGAAAAATTAGTAGTAAATACAGTTAATTAGTAAAAAATAATTTACGTATACAATTAAGTAATAATAAAATTAGTAATAAATACAATTAATTAGTAGTAAAATTTGTAGTAAATAAAATGAATTATTAATGAAATTAATAGAAAATACTATACTAATTAGTAAAAAAAGATACTAGTAGTAAAATTAGTAGTAAACAAAATAAGGTAAATAAATTAATTACATAGTTGTAAAATTCGTTGTAAATAAAATTAATTCATCATAAAATTAACAGTAAAAATATTAGTATAGAAATTAATTAGTAATTAATAGAAAAATTCGTAGTAACTAAAATCAATTCATCATCAAATTAAATATTAATAGTAAAAATATTAGTAGAAATTAATAAGTAATTAGAAAAATTAGTAGAAAATATAACTAATTGATAAAAAAATTAGTAGCAAATATAACTAATTAATAAAAAAATTGGTAGCAAATACAATAATTTAGTAAAAAAAATTACAAAGCCTAGAAATTATTACAATTATGTTAATAATATTTCTGATAATAATAAATATGTAAATTAATGAATTTTACTAAAATTACTAAAACTCGAAAGACGACTAAAATTCAATTAGTTCCATATTGGTTGTAAAATTTAAAAAAGTACTTTTCGTATTCCAAAAAAAAAATTTCTCTTCTTAAAATCAATCAATATTGTGGATCATTTGTTACGCACGCAAAAAAATAAAATATTCTCGAGGACTTTAATAATCTTACGTAAGAATTATTTCATTATTTTCAGTTCTTTTATTTATGGTTGTTATACTTATTAAGGAGAGGAGTGTCGCTTTTTTTTTCTGAACGAAAATCGTTTCATGAAACTTGAGTGAAAGTCGTCAAAAAATTGACGACTTGACGTTTTGTTCGGTTCAAATTCGAGATAAATGGGCTCGAGAACAATTGACCTTAAAAATTGCAGAATCTCACTGCTTCTTATTGCGAAGGTCAGAATTTTTTTTTTTTTTTTTTTTTTTTTTTTTTAATAGTGATTGGTATATATATATATATATGTATATATGGTTGACATGCAAAAGTGAATTTACATGCGGCCGAGGTCGAAGCGAGAGTAATATTCTTCGACTCTATGGAACGTGAAAATTACATAAAGAGAAAGGCCATAATTATAACCAATTATAGATGGAAAGGTGAAATTTATTGGCCTGTCTTTGGAAAATCTTCTCTTAAAATTATTCTCAATATGCACTTGATTTTGTATATTTCTATTTTGAAAATAGAATTCAAAATTAAATTGGAAATTAAATTTTTTTATTTTTTAATTAAAATAACAAAAAAGTAAAAAAAAAATTGTTAAAAAAATTTTTTTAAATAAATATTTCTTAATATTTGTAAATATTTTTTTTTTAATTTCAAATTAAGTTTTTTAAACTCTAAATTTTAATTAGTGAAAATTTTTACTAATTTTAATTAGTGATTGACTTTTTTAAAATTTTAATTTTATAAATTTTATAAATTAGTTAATTTCATAAACTAGTAAATTTTACTATAATAAATAGAAATTCCTACTAATTTTATAAAATTTATAAATTTTATATTTATATTTTTAATTTTACAAATTAGTAAATTTTTTAGTAAATTTTATTATAATAAAGAGTAATTCCTACTAATTTATTAGTAAAATTGAATAAATAGTAATTTCTACTATTTTATAAGTAAAATTTACTAATTCAAAAGCAAAAAGTCAGTCACTAATTCAAATTAATAAACATTTTTAGTCTAATTTAAATTTAGAGACAAATATTTTATAGAAACCAAAAGTAAACAATAACTGAAATGAAGGATAAAATAAAAAAATTTGAAATTAAAAACTAAAATATTAAAAAATTTAAAAGACTGAAAGTAAAATAAAAATTAAAAAATGAATTAAAAATTGTTTAAACTAAAAAATTCTAAAAACTGGAAATATAAACTTAAAATTATTATTAAAAACTAAAACTGAAAGTAAAAATGAAAAAAATAATTACTAAAATAAGTGATAGAAATAAATTTAAATTAATTAAATTAATTAAATTAATTTTATAATTTAAACTGAAAAAAAGAATTAAAATTCAAAAAGGGATTCACAGGTGAAAAAAATTATCCAAAGAAAAGAAAAAATGGAAAATTCTGTACAAAAGGCTTAATAATTTTTTTTTATTATTAAAAATTAAATAAATATAACGTAATATATAAAATAACTATTACAAATGATTGAAAATGAATGCGTGATAATACACAAGATAATAATGATGTAATTTGTCATAAAATGCACTAAAAAAAAATAACTAGATGAACTTTAAAATACAAATAATATTAATAAAATTCAATAACTGGAAATTCATATACATTTCCTGCTTTTTCCGATTAAATTAATCTCTCAAATAATTTAATAACTCGTTTTGGTTCCTTGACTCATTTTCAATAAATAATATATAATTAAATATCGAGATCGAAAAAAAATCGAACACGAAAAATTAAAAAAAAAAATTCCTGTATAAACGCTTTGAAAAAAAAAGATTGAAGACTCAATTTCTTACATAAAAGGAAAAGTATTTTTCACTGACGAATAAAAAAAAAATGAGAAAAAAAAATTACAACAAAGCAAGTAGTGCATCTTATATAATGTAAAAACTACTTTTTATTATTCTTATGGGTAAAAGTTAAGCGTTATATATCGCGAAGCTGGCACCTGCTGTAACTATGTAACTCAATTTCTCTTGTTGTAGTAATCCTCGCTGGAAAATAAAATTTAATTATTATTTATTATGAATTAGAATGTATTTGAAAAGAATTGAGTGTTTTAAAAAATAATAATAATAATATAAGATAGAAAATGAAATTATAGTTCTCAGCGTATGTTAGAAAAATTCCATGGAAAGTGAACTATTGAATTTTCATTGAAATTCTAATTTGAAAATTCAATAAAGAAAAAAAAATTCCATTAGAAAAATTATTCAAAATTATTCCATTTGAAAAAATTATTCGAAATTTAATTAGAAAAGTTATTCAAAATTATTCAATTTGACAAAATTATTCGAAATTTAATAAGAAAAATTATTGATTTTAAATTGAATTTAATCCAATTTCAAATTTTTTTGAAAATTTTGAAAATTGAAATTTTGAAAATTTTTTTTCAAATCGTTTTTCAAATCATTTTTCAAATCCTTTTTCAAATCTTTTTTCAAATTCCATAAACAGAAATTTTAGTTATAAATTCCATTTGGAAATTCGAATAGTTTTTTCTGAAATTTCCTTAAGAATTTCTAATTAGAAATTTAAAATAAATTCCCTGGTAATTTTTATAGAAATTCAATAAGATTTTTCTGAAATTTTTACAGAAAAAAAAATTAATATTAATTTCGCCTAAAACAATTAATTTTTGAGTCTAAATTGTGACTTGATTTCAAAATAAAAAATTATTTTAAAAAAGCTAAAATTTTTCAACTAAAATTTTATTGAACTTTCTTGCATTAAAATTAAATTTATTAAATTGAAATTAAATGAATTAATAAAATTGAAACATAATTAAATTAAAATTTAATTAACTTATTAAATTAGAAGCATATTTAATCAATTAATAGAATTTGGGAATTTATTTCAATTTAATTTTAAATTAAAACTTTCTTAAATTGAAATTTAAGTAATGGAGTAAATTGAGTTTTATTTAAATTTAATTAACTAATTATATATTGACACTTAATTTGATTAAAATTTAATTAATTTTATAAATTCAGACCTCATTTCAATAGAATTGAATTAAATTGAGTAGTAATTAAATTAATTAATTAATTAACTTAATTAATTAACTTAATCAATCAAATAAATTGAGACTTAATTAAATTTGATTTCATTACATAAATAACAGAATGGAGAGTTAATTATATATTCAAATTTAATTCATTAATTAAATCCAGACTTTAATAAATTAAAAAATAATTAATTAATCTTATTGAAGCCTAATTAAATTAAAACTTAATTTATCTTGTAATGTCTTGCATTAAAAATTGAATTAAATTAATTTCAACCCAGCCTTAATTAAATTCGAACCTAATTAAAACGAAATTTAATTAAATTAAAATAACTAAATACAAACGTAATCAAAACAAAAGTTATTTAATTAAATTTAAAGGAGTTAAAAGTTATTTAAATTGAAACTTAATCAAAAGTGGATTAATTAATTGAATTGACACTTGATTTAACTGAAATTTAATTAATGACTTAAATGATACTTAATTAAATTGAATTTTGAATTTATTAATTAAATTGAAACTTTATGAAATTTAAATGAAGTTAATTAATTCAATTCAGGGCCAATTAAATTGAAATATAGTTAATTATTTAAAGTGAGGACTAATTAAATTAAAATTTACTTAATTAATTAAACTAAAGTTTTTTAAATTAAAATTTAAATTAAAAAATAAAATTGATACTTTATTAATTTGAAATTTAGTTAATTAATTAAATTTAGGACCAATTAAATGGAAATTTAGTTAATTAATTAAATTTAGGACCAATTAAATGTAAATTTAGTTAATTAATTAAATTGAGGACTAATTTAACTGAAAATTTAGTCAATTATTTAAATTGAGGTTTTTTCAATTCAAAACTTAATGAAAATAAAACTAAATTAAATTGAAAAATAATTTAACTGAAATTAAATTGACATGAAATTAGATTTTTAACAATTTTTAATTAATTTAAAACTTTATTAAAGTGAAAATTATTTTAAATGAAACCTAATTGAAATTAAAGTTAATTAAACTCAAACTTAATTTATTTGATATTCAATCTATAAAAACTTAATTAAATTAAAACTTTACGAATTGATATTCAATTTTTTTTTTAATTTTTAATAGGTAGAAATTTAAAAATATTAACATAAAAAATGTAAATTGTCAAAAATTAAATTAAAACTTAAATAAATTATAATATATTTAAGTTTAAACTAAATTAATTTTATACTTAATTAAACTGAAACTTTACGGAATTGAAATTTAATTTATAGAAACTTAATTAAATTAAAATATAATTAAATTGAAACTTTATGAAATTGAAATTTAATTTATAGAAACTTAATTAAATTTCAATTAAATTTATAGAAACTTAATAAAATTGAAATTTAATTAATAGAAACTTAATTAAATTAAAATATAATTAAATTGAAACTTATTAAAATTGAGACCTAATTAATTCCATACTTAATTAAACTGAAACTTTATGAAATTGAAATTTAATTTATAGAAACTTAATTAAATTTCAATTAAATTTAAAGAAACTTAATAAAATTGAAATTCAATTAATAGAAACTTAATTAAATTAAAATATAATTAAATTGAAACTTATTAAAATTGAGACCTAATTAATTTCATACTTAATTAAATTGAAACCTTATGAAATTTCAATTTAATTTATTGAAACTTATTAAAATTGAGACCTAATTAATTCCATACTTAATTAAACTGAAACTTTGTGAAATTGAAATTTAATTTATAGGAACTTAATTAAATTTCAATTGAATTTATAGAAACTTAATTAAATTTCAATTTAATTTATAGAAACTTATTAAAATTCAGACCAAATTGAATCGAATCTGAAGTAAATTAAAATTTATTGAAACTGAAACCGAATTGAATCGAGTCTGAATTAAATAAAAATTTATTGAAACTGAAACCAAATTAAATAGAGTCTGAAAATAATTGGAATTTATTGAAACTAAAATCGAATTGTATCGAATTTGAATTAAATTGAAATTTATTGAAACTAAAACCGAATTGAATCGAGTATTAATTGAATTAAAATTTACTGAAACCAAATCCGAAATTGAATCGAATCTGAATTTAATGGATATTTATTGAAACTGAAACCAAATTAAATTGATTCTAATAATTAAATTAAAATTTATATATAAATTAAAATTTATGATTAAAATTTTTTGATTAACATTCAAAAGGAGTCTTATATTAAAAAAAAACTTTGATATTTAGAGTCATAATAAAAACAACTTGAGAACTTAATTTTTTTTTTCGCAAACTATAGAGTGAATTTAGAATATGAAAAGAATAAAAAGAAGAGAAAAAGAAAAATAATTACCATCCTTGAACTAATTCGGGTTCGGTGCACCTGAAACTTTCTTCATTGTAAACAGTATCAGGCTCGCATTGTCCTTTTTGTGGTACAACGCCATTTTTACAGATATAAAATTTGGCACAGTCTTCTGGATGGGGATATGTGGGATGGGGTAAAATTCTTCCCTGCGGTCCAGCGACATCGCCCTCGGGACATGTGAAGCCATCGTCTAATGTCTCACGCTTTAAAGTCTCACAAAGTCTCGTTGAGTCCTGCGCCCATACGCAACTCGACATTTTGTCCTCGTATATCAATCCAGGCGGACATGACATTTCCATTGCAACTCCATCAATGCAATTCATAAATTTATCACACGAGTCGGGATCGTCGTGCTTGAAATAACCATTTGCTCTTGGACATCCTTTTGAACTTTGTGGCTCCTCTAGAAATAGACAAATTTTTTCTTTTTAAATTACAATTTTTATTTTAATGATATATGCCTGGAGAAAAAATTTTTTTTTATTTAAAATAGAATTTTTTTTGAGGTAAATAAAAATATGTTCGTCGCTAAAAGTACTGAGTTTTTTATTTGTTTTCAATACGAATTCAATTTTTTTGTTGGAACCAAATTAATTTTTATTTGGTTCAAATAAATTTTTATTTGGTTCAAATTAATTTTTATTTGGTTCAAATAAAATTTTATTTGAACCAAATAATATATAAAATTATTACTAAAAATTAATTTGTCCCAAATATAATTTATTTTTAAACAAATTAAAAAATGTTAGTTGTCTCTGTGTCAAACATATTTTTTTCTGTGGGTAAAGAAAATTAATTAATTAATTTATTTATAAATTAATAATCGTTGTATTTCGGTAATCTGTTCGCAGTTTGAAGTTAGTTGTTTGCTTTTTTGTATCGTAACGTTTTTAATAATTTTTCTTTTTAAATAATTTCAATTTTAAAATGAATGTATTGAAAATCATCGAATTGTGGCAAAGAATTTTATCAAAACATTTGACAATAGAATTTCTTCGAAGTATTTTATTATTTAGAAAAATAATTGAATTCTCGTGAAGAATATTATTAAAATTTTTTTAAAATTCCAATTCAATTCTTTTTGTTTAATTTCTTTGAGTTTTTTTAAATAATGAAGTTTCTTTAATAATTTTAATTGAAAATTGTGAAAATAATTAAATTTTATAAACAATTTCCTTCAAGTTTTTAAAATAAAAAAAAATAAATTTAAATGAAATTAAACATTTAATTATTGAATTTTATTAAAATTTTAGAAAATAATTGAATTCTTTTGAAATTTTTTATAACGAATTAATAAAAAAACCGAATTCTATCGTGGATTTTTTTTAAGATAATTGAATTTTTGCAATGAATTTTACTATTTATAATTATTTTTACTATTTATAATTGAATTTTTTCGAAAAAATCATTAAAATTTTACAAAATAATTGAATTTTTTTAAACAATTTTATAACAAATTGAGAAAAAAAATTGAATTCTTTCATGGAATTTTTGTAAAGAATTTTAGTTTTTTTTTATTTACAAATATAATTGAATTGCTTAGAAGGATTTATTCAAGTTTTTAAAAATAATTGGATTTTTTCGAAAAATATTATGAAAAATTAAAAAAAAAACTGAATTCTTTCATGGAATTTTTTTTAAAATAATTGAATTTTTGCAATGAATTTTACTATTCATAATTATATAATTGAATTTTTTTCGAAAAATTCATTAAAATTTTAGAAAATAATTGAATTCTTTTGAAATTTTTTATAACGAATTAAGAAAGAAATTAAATTCTTTCGTGAAATTTTTTTAAAATAATTGAATTTTCGCAAAGAATTTTACTATTTAGAAATAAAATTGAATTGTTTCGAAGGATTTATTGAAATTTTTGAAAATAATTGAATTTTTTCGAAAAATAGTATTAACAATTTTTAAAAATTGAATTCTTTCGTGAAATTTTTTTGAAAATAATTGATTTTTTGCAAAGAATTTTACTATTTATAAATATAATTGAATTGTTTCGAAGGTTTTATTAAAATTTTAGAATATAATTGAATTTTTGCAAACAATTTTGCTATTTATAAAAATAATTGAATTTTTTAGATGAATTTATAAATATTTTAGAAAATTGAATTCTTTTAAAATATTTTATAAAGAATTAAGAAAAAATTGAAGTCTTTCAATTTTTGAAGAATTGAAAGAAAATAATTGAAGAAAAAAACAAAAAAACAAAAAAGTGAAATTTTTTAGAAAATAATTGAATTTTTGCAAAGATTTATTAAAATTTTAGAAAATAATTGTACTCGTTTGTTAAATGTTATTAAAATTTTGTTTAAAAATTATTGAATTTTTGCAAATATTTTACTATTTATAAAAATAATTGAATTCTTACGAAAAATGTTATTATTTATGAAAATAATTGATTTCTTAAGAAGAATTTTATAAAAATTTTTGAAATTAATAAACAAGAATAATTAATTAGTACCTAAATTAGTTAATAATTGAATTTTTTTAAAGTTTAAATTTGAAATTATTTAAGAATTCATATTTGAAAATAAAAAATTTTGTAATTATTTTGCATAGTAATAAATTTAATATTACGTTCCGCGCGTAACATTTGCTATAGTGATTAATAATTTTAATTTTTTTTATAAATGAAAATGTTATTCTATAATTAATAAATAATAATTTTCAAATTTTATTTTCTTCTTATAAATTTCAACTTCAAAATTATTTGCGCCCAACAAATAAAACAATTTGTTTTTGGTAAATAAATTTGTTTCTTTGTGTCAAATACATTTTTTTTTGTTTTTGTGAAATAAATTTTTAATCGTGACAAATGAATGTTTTTTTTTTAACAATAAATTTTTTATTCGAGTAAAATGAATTTTTTTTCATGTGAAATAAATTTTTAACCGTGCCAAATAAATGTTTTATTTCTGACAAATAAATTTTTTACACGTGCCAAATACATTTTTTATTCATAATAAATAAATTTTTTATTTATGACAAAATAAATTTTCTATTCTTACCGAATAAATTTTTTGTTCGTCATAATTTAATTTTGTCAATTAGATTAGATAAATAATTGGATTAGTAGGTTCTTTGAGTCAAGTTTACTTTTTATATCCAATTTTAATTTCATTTGATTCAAATATAAATAAATATTTTTTATTACTACTATAAACAAGAAATGATAATTGGAATAATAATAATAATTTTGTTTTGTCAAGTGGTATTAAATATAATATTGTAAGACAGCGTGAGATAGAATAGTATTTGAAAAAGTTTGCGGTAATAATGCGCGAGATAAATTACAAAATCTCAATTTCGATTTGTTTTGCGGTTTACTCATTTTTTTTTTTTTTTAATTTTTTAAAATTTTTTTTAAAGGAGGGCATACAGACACGACAAAATTGACACATATTGCAACACAGGCGACCTGTTGCGTTAAGTTTGACTAATGATTTTCCAGTAAAAAGACACATGAGATAACATATATGTTAATTATGTGAGTTCCGTGTTTATATATATAGCACATGTAAACCAAAGTTTAACAACCTCTCTCTCTCTCTCTATAAAAAAAATTATTATTAATCATTATACAATTAAAGTTAGCTAGACCGAAATTTAAACCACTTCAACTATTTTACAGTAAAGTTTTCCTTCTTTATTTGGAATTATTATTTAATTTTAATTTTAATTTTAATTTTAATTTTTAAATTAATTTTTATTTTTATTTTTATTTTTAATTTAATTTTTTTTATTATCTACTTATTATTTATTTATTTGCAAAAATAAACTAAAAAATCCCTCTAATTATAATTAATTTACAAAAATGAACGGGAGGAGCCTTTCAATTATTATTTTTACTACAGTCAAACCTGTCGGAATGCAACTCTATTTCAAAAATGATTTTTCAGTTAAAAATGTCCAACAAAAATTATTTTCACTTACATAGTTCCAGAATATTGTAAAAATATTATAAAATTAAATTCTAGAACAATTTTTTTTAATGATTTTTTACTGCAATAAAATTTTAAAAATCGAGTTGCATTCCGACAGGTTTCACTGTATTTATATATTTTTTATTTTTACTATTTTTTTTAAGCATTTTCGATAATAATATTTTATACAAAAGAAAAAAAAAATATAAAGTCAACTTCTACTATTTACGAAACAAAATCTAAACTACCTGCAAATTTTACAGCAACTATTTAAAAAGTAGATTTTACTAATTTTATACTAAAAATTACTATACTATAGTAAAAATTTACTTTAAAGTTTAAATATATAAGAATAAAAAATAATAAGAAAAAATATAATAGGAAAAAATATAATAAAAAATATAATAAGAAAAAATATAATAAAAATACAATAAGAAAAAATACAATAAAAAATACGGTAATAACCAACAGTGCAATTACTAATTATCTGGAAAATATAATTAATAACGAATTAATTAACCAGCAAAAAAATAATAAATTCCAAATTATCTAGAAAATATTATAATTTATAAAAATTAATCAACCGGCAAAAAGATAAATAATTATTAATTAATAATAATTACTAATTAGCTATGGCAAATTGTATTACAATTAATAACAATAAATTAACCAGCGAAAATAGTATAATAAATAATTATTATTTATATACAAAAGTTTTTGAAGTAAAAAATATATTTTAATATCTCCATCAATAATAATCTTTATCCTCAAAAGGATAATGATTTTTCTTCCTTTTAATTATTCAATTCTCGTGCTGTTAATATTTAAATAACTAATTTCCTCGTACATACAAATATAAATAATTAGACCGGAATTTCCTTATTGTCGCTAAAAGAAAGTTTCGTTATAACAAAAGTAATCGATATATTTCATTATATACGGTTTTTTTTTTTCAATACGGAAATAATTGTTTGGAATTTCATCAATTTTTTCCGGGATTTATAAATTTTCTTTTTTTTTGTATAATTAAACTTTTTTTTTTAATTAGTCTTGCATGTTAGGAGTGATTCGTGTATTTTTGCAAAAAATTTATTTCTATAAAAATTATAAATAAAATCAAATAAAATAATTCTCTATACAAATTATATTTTTTTTATTTTATTTATTAATGGTTTAAAAATTTTCTGTTTGGAAAATTTATTTTCGAATTGAAAATTATTTTCTTTTCAATTATAATGGAATATTATTTTATATTTTTAGAATGTTGATTTCGGTTTCTCACCAGTCACGAATTTTTTTACCAAAAGGACCTTGGAGACCGGTTTATTATTCCGTTGACGCGATGATGGGACTTTTTTTTGTATTATCTTTCTCAGATCCGAGGGAAAGTCCCAACAAATATAAAATTAAAATAAGAAAATCGAGAAAAGAACTATTTCTACTTGGTGGTTTTGAAGTTTTATCAATTTTATATTTACAGGTATTTTTATTTTTTATTTTATTTATTTTCTTCTTTCTTTTATTATTTATTTTTTTCTTTCTTTTATTATTTATTTTATTAATTCTTTTGTTATTTATTTTATTCATTCTTTTATTATTTATTTTATTCTTTCTTTTATTATTTCTTTTATTAATTCTTTAATTATTTATTTTATTCTTTCTTTTATTAATTCTTTTATTATTAATTTTATTTTGTTTATTATTTATTTTATTAATTATTAATTATTATTTCTTTCATTACCTGTTTATTTATTTATTCAATTATACGACTAAGGACAATTTTTAATTATTTATTTAATGATTTTTTAACTATTTATTTTTTAAATTTCATTCAAGAATTTTTCTCCTAATTTTTTGTATGGTAATAATTAAAGGAAACATAAAATTTAATTTTGTAAGAATTAATATAATTTAAATAACTAAAATATGAAAGAAAGTAAATCAAATTAAGTTTTTTTTTCACGTAGTTCACTTTAGCTACTAGTTTGTGGTTAAAAAAAAAAATCTGTTAAATAACAAAATTTCGCTTATTTGATTTTAATAAGAAATCGATTTTACATTTGGTCGATATAATCTCGTTAATTTAAATTTGTCATTTGACATTTAATTGCAGGAGATAAATTGATAAAATAATTTTTACATACGCGCTTATGAGGGAGGTGACTATATAGACTTGTTAGATAAACGTTTTATGTAAGGAACCGTTAGAAAGTTGCAAATTTATTAAAGAATACCGCGACCGCATGAGATCTCTACTTTGGAGTAATTACATTCAAATATCCTAACGAGATCATGAACATTTTTTTATTTATCTTTACACTTTTAAAAAAATTTCTCATTAAATTCTCATTAAACTCATTAGAATTAACTCTCTCAATTTTTTCCCCCCAATTTCTCCTTTCATTATTATTAAATAAAAATTTAGAAGATAAAAAATTTTTAATTCAAAATTTTAGAAGATAAAAAAATGTTAATTTAAAATTTTAGAAGAAAAAAAATTTTTAATTCAAAATTTTAGAAGATAAAAAAATTTTAATTTAAAATTTTGAAAGATAAAAAATTTTTAATTTTAAATTTTAAAAAATAAAAAAAATTCAATATAAAATTTTAAAAGATAACAAATTTTTAATTTAAAATTTTAAAAGATAACAAAAATTTTAAATTTTAAAATTTAAAAGATAACAAATTTTTAATTTTAAATTTTAAAAGGCAAAATTTTTTTTTTTTTAAAATATGGAAAAAGACAAATTTTTCCGATTGTCTGAATAATTTGTTTCAAAGTTTTTTTTTTATTATTTATTTATTCTAATTAGGAAATGTTAATTTGTATAACAATTAATGTTTATTATTTATCAATATTATAATGAGTAATTTTCATTTTATTTCATTTACAATAATGGACACTGTCCGTATAAATGCTATAAATAATTAAATTAATTAATTAATTCTGAAAACTAATTTGTAAAATTAATGTTTATTAATAAATAACTATGAATTAACATACGTGTATAATGTTAACTCAATAACATTAATATTAAATATTTGTTTACAATATAAAATTTATATTTTCTTTTTTGTTAAATCAATTATTTAATTATTTTGCAATAAAAAATGTCCCGAATGAATATTAATTTCTAAATAATATTTTTGGCCGTTTGTATTTCAAAATAATAAATAAATATTAATAGTTATTAATAATAATTAACTAATAAGAATATAATTAGATATTATTAAAAAAAATTATTATTACTATCGATTGAATAAATATAAATTAAATATTAATATAAATAATTATTATCAGATAATAATTATTTATTATTAGATAAAAATTATTTATTAGATAATAAACATTATTTATCAATAATAATAACAATTAATTAATATTAATAATTAATAACTAGTTAAAAACTAGTATTAATAATTAATAACTAGTATTAATAATTAATAACTAGTTAATAACTAGTATTAATAATTAATAAACAGTTTTAACAAAGTTTATTCATTAATAAATTAATATAAATAAAAAATATTAAATATAAAATTAATTATTAAATATTAAATATTACTAATATTAATAAAAAATAATTATTAAATTGTTACTTTATTTACAACTTTCTGAATAAATATTAAATTAAATAAATTAATTTATTAAATTAAATTAAATTATATAACAATAATAATAATATTAAAATTACGAATCGCAGTTTCAAAAACCTTCATTAAAATTTGAAAATAAATGTTAAAAAAAAATTGGAATTAAAAATTAAAATAAAAGACTAATAGAAAAAAATTTTTTTTAGAAACAAAAATTAGTTAAATAATTAAATAATAATAAATAAATAATAATTAGATAATTAATTAAACAATAATTAATTTTTTTAACCACACAAGTGTTTTAAAACACTTGGATTTTATTCCATTTATTTTTAAGTAATTAATCTTTAACGAATTTCGACTGTTAGAGTTAAAAATAATTTTTCTTGAAACAGTTTCGATTGTGAAAATTATAAATACTTTTTATTAATTTTCGTTTCGTGGAATTGAAAATAATTTTGTTCTGTATCAATATTATTCGGATGGATAGAATTGAAAATATTTTCTTTCTCCATTAATTTCGATTAAAAGAAACAAAAATAATTTTTTTGAGTCAGTTTGGATTGTTTTCGAAAAATAATTTGTTTAAGTTAGTTTCGATTGTTTTCGAAAAATAATTTGTTGAAGTCAATTTGGATTGTTTTCGAAAAATAATTTTTCTTCAAGTAAATTTGTATTGTTTTTGAAAAATAATTTTTTTTTCCTTTTTCGATAGAAATAAATAAATGAAGAAAAAACTTACGAAGAAGAGTGCGATCGCCACAAGGGACATTGGCGGGAAGATCGCAAAAGTCCTTTTTCGGATTATCGTCCCTAAAAACGAGTCCATCCTTACAGAGTCTCTCCTCGGGTTGTCCATCAACACAGGCATAATATAAATCGCACTGCTCTGGATCGGGATAAAAGCCCTTCTCCTCAGGACATCGAAATTGAGTTTGAGCACGCGTCAAACTCACATTAATGACAATAATTGTCACAATTGAAAATAGAGAATAATAATTAAACGTCACAATTTTAGACATTGTCCCTATAATATTTATTAATTAAAATATAAGAAAATAATTTCTATTTCTTGAAAAAAAAAACTTCTTCTTCTTCTTCTTCTTTTTCTTCTTCTTTGATTTTTCTCGGTTTGTGTGTCTCACTTGAAAAATTCTTCTTTGTACAAAATTTCTTTCTCTATAATAAAATGATAATATTTCTTTATAATATATATATTGGCCTGTGCGTGAAGCTTTTAGACGTGACTGTTGGACTTGTACTGATCTCGTTTCGCTCGACTGAGTTTCCACCGCACAGTGTGTGTTGCACCATGATGCATTTCACAACACCCTACCCCTTTCTCCGAAACTCATCTAGCTCTCAAACCATTTTTCACTTTTTCCCCTCTTTAACACCCATTTTACCCCTACTACCAATCGTCAATTCAACATTCTAGCATTCTTGTTCTTGTTCTTTTCTTTTTATCAAAAGGAGAACAAAAAAAAAAAAAAAAAAAAAAAAAAAAAAAAAAGTCCAGACTATTCTTATATTGTGAGTCTATAGGTAAGTAGGCGAGTTTAGTCATGTAGGTGACTTCCTTCTTGTTTCTTACCAAATGTGGATGTTGAAAATTTATTTATATTATAGCCTCGAATTTATTGTTCATTATTTACTTGGAGAGAAAAAAATTTTTTTATACCTTCACTTTGTTTAGATTTTATATCTAACACGCCTTAATATTTTTTTTTTGCAAGAAAATTTATTATATTATATTTTTTCCATGCGATTAATAAAGATTATTAAATTTCCGATGGGGAATTAATAAATAATTATTAATTAGTAATAAATAACTATTGATTAGTAACAATAATAATTATTAATTATTATTTGTTATATTCCTTCTGGGCAATTATTAATATAAATTTTTTTCCCCAATTACTTAAATAATTACTTCTCCGATGACTAATTAATAATTATTAATTAGAAATATTAGAATAGAGTAATTATTAATTAGTAATTGTTATATTCCTTCTGGGTAATTATTAATAAATATAAATTCTTTTCTCCATGTAATTAAATAATTATTTTTCCCATGACTAATTAATAATTATATCATAATCATTAAATTTACAAATGAGCAATTAATAAATAATTATTAATTAGTAATTTTTACGCAGTTTTCTTAGATAATTAATAACATTAAATTTTTACTCGAGCATTAAATAATAATTATTAAATTTCTGAGGGTAGGTATTTAGAAAATAATTAATAATTATAATAATTCTTCTAAGTAATTAATAAAAATTATTAATAACCATATAATGTTAATTTTTGTTAAATTTAATAATAAAATTTTATCAAAAATATTCTAAAATGGTTTCTATAGATGATATAAAAATTTTTATTTGTATTAAATTATTTATTTGTAAATAAATAAATTGATAAATAAATAAATTCACAAAAAAATAAAATAATTGATAAATAAATAAATAGATAAATGAAAAAATTGATAACTAAATGAATTGAATTTTAGGTTTGTAAATGAATAAATTAATAAATAAATGAAATAATTGATAAATATTTAAATTGATAAATAAAAAAAATGATAACTAAATAAATTGAATTTTAGGTTTGTAAATAAATAAATTGATAAATAAATAAAATAATTGATAAATTGATAAATAAATGAATAAAAAAATGGTAAGAAATTGATGAATAAATAAATTGATAACTAAATGAATTGAATTTTAGGTTTGTAAATAAATAAATTAATAAATAAATGAAATAATTGATAAATATTTAAATTGATAAATAAAAAAATTGATAAATAAATAAATAAATGAATAACTAAATAAATTGAATTTTAGGTTTGTAAATTTGATAAATAAATAAATAAATTGATAAATAAATAAATAAAAAAAATGGTGAATAAAGAAATTGATGAATAAATAAATTGATAAATAAATAAATTGATAAATAAAAAATTGATAACTAAATAAATTGAATTTTAGGTTTGTAAATAAATTATAATAAAATTGATAAATGAAAATTGATAAATTGATAAAATTAATAAATAAAAAAATTAATAACCAAATAAATTGATAAATAAATGAATAATAAAGAAATTGATGAATAAATAAATTGATAAATAAATAAATAATAAAGAAATTGATGAATAAATAAATTGATAAATAAATAAAATAATTGATAAATAAATAAATTAATAAATGAATAAAATAATTGATACATAAATAAATTGATAAATAAATAAATTGATATATAAATAAATTGATAAATAAATAAAATAATTGATAAATAAATAAATAAATTAAAATTGATAAATATATTAATGAATAAATAAATTGATAAATAAATAAATTGATAAACAAATTATTTTTTCGAGACCTTGAATTGACGGGGAATTAAAAAAAAGAATAAGAAAGCAGAACCGATTTTAATTTATCGTGCGCGGCTCTCGACAAGATCATTGAGTGTAAGAAAGTCAGTTAAATCGAAAAGAAAAGCGAAGGAAATCATTTAATAAGATTAACACAAAGTCACAAGAGAAAGTCATTAGTGATTTGCTTCACTGCTTTGGTATACATAGGAAAAGCCAAGCCAAGGTCTCCAAGAAATGAGTCTTTATTTCAAATGTCTTTCTTTAAAAAAAAAAAAAAAGAAAGAAAAAGAAGAGAAAAAAAAACCTTTTAGAAACTTTTAGAAACGTAGCAAAACTTATTGAAAAAATTTGAAGCACATAATATTTTTTTTTTTTTTTAAGTAACTGTAAATTATTTTTCTTCCTTTTTTAAAATTAGTTTCATTTTTATCGACAAATATCGAAATAAAGTTTTTGTCAAATTAATTTTTCAATTTATAAATTTTTCATTTTAATTATAAATGAATATTTTGTTTATAAATATAAATGAATATTTTGTTTATAAATATAAATGAATATTTTGTTTATAAATATAAATAAATATTTTACCTGTAAATATACAAAAATATTCTACCCATAAACATAAATAAATAATTTGCACTACAAATATAAATAAATTTTCTACCTCTAAATATTTTTCATCCAAAATATTTCGCTTCGTCATTTATTATAACGAAAAATTAAAATTATAAAAGTAATTTATTTAGAAAAAAATATACAAATCAAAATTCGTTTTTACAATTAAGCTAGACAATAATAACATTAATTTATAATAATAGTAATAATAATAATAATAATAATATAATACTAATAATAATAATAATAATAAAATAATACTAATTATTATAATAATAATAATAATAAAAAAATAAAAAAATAATAAAAGTACGAGGAGATATATCCCGATGCGGGACAGTTCACTCATGACAATGTCCTCAAGGTTTTTTGCCAACGTCTTTATACCAGTCCTCACTGCAAAAAAATTTTTGTTTTTCTCATTTAGAAAAAAAATGTTCAACACATTGTGATAACAAAGAAACGTTAAATTTTTTAACATTATTTTCAAATAAAAAATTGAAGTTGGAACTTTTTTGAATTAAAAAAATAATTATACCTAGAGAATATTTTTTTTGTTGGAAAATGATTTTTTTTTTAATTTAAATCAAATAAATTGATTAATTAATTGATTGGAGTCTAAAAAAAGAGGGGGGGGGAAGTAATTGAAAAATGAACTCACCATCCATGTACATTTTCTGGTGCATCGCATCTTTGGATTTCTTCATTATAAACAGTTCCATCGCTACAACCTTGTTCGCGTGGTGTCACGCCATTTAGACAAACGTAGAATTTTTGACAGTCATCTGGATGTGCAAATTTAGGATGATCAACTGTCATTCCCCTTGTATCGAGGGGACTTTCTTTTGGACATTCGAAGCCATCGTCGAGCTTCTTGTCCACAGCACCACAGCCCTAAAATTATATTCAAAAATTTGTTTTTAATTTTTATTCATATTTTATCTATTTTCTTGAAATACAGTAAAAAAGAATGAAATTTTCAAAAAAGGTAAATGTATTGAGTATATTTTTATTTTTTCTAAAGAAAAAGGAATAAAATGATATTTACTATAAAAAGTATAGTAAACATCACTTTAAACTATTTGTTAAATTTTCTGTTTTGTAAAATTTAAACAATTTTTACTATTTTTGGAGTATTTTTCAATTAGTACGGAGTAAATTTTACTATACAAGAGTAAATTTTACTATTCATGGAACAATTTGTACTATCCTGAAATAATTTTTATTTCAGAGTAAATTTTACTATTTCTGGATTAATTTTTACTATTTTGGAGTAAATTTAATTATTTCTGGATTAATTTTTTACTAACTCGAATTAATTTTTATTTGAGGATAAATTGTACTATTCAGGAGTAACTTTAACTATTTCCGGATTAATTTGTACTATTTTGGAGTAAATTTTACTATTTCTGAATTAATTTTTTACTATCTCAAATTAATTTTTATTTAAGAATAAATTTTCCTATTCAGGAATATTTTTCTCTATTTCTGGATTAATTTTCACTATTTTGAAGTAAATTTTACTATTTCTGGATTAATTTTTGATATTCAGGAGTAATTTGCACTATTTCTGGATTAATTTTTATTTCTGAATTAATTTTTACTATTTTTAAGTAAATTTTATTATTTCCGGATTAGTTTTTTACTATCTCGAATTAATTTTTATTTCAGAATAAATTTTCCTATTCAGGAATAATTTTCTCTATTTCCGGATTAATTTTTACTATTTTGAAGTAAATTTTACTATTTCTGGATTAATTTTTGCTCTTCAGTAGTAATTTTCAAAAAAATTTCTGGATTAATTTTTATTTCAGAGTAAATTTTACTATTTTGGAGTAAATTTTATTATTTTCGGATTAATTTTTTACTATCTCGAATAAATTTTTATTTCAGAATAAATTTTCCTATTCAGAAGTAATTTTCACTATTTCCGGATTAATTTGTACTATTTTGGAGTAAATTTTACTATTTCTGGATTAATTTTTAGTTACTATTCCAGAGTAAATTATACTATTCCGGAGTAATTTTCTCTATTTCCCGATTAATTTTTACTATTTTGGAGTAAATTTTACTATTTCTGGATTAATGTTTGCTCTTCAGGAGTAATTTTCACTATTTCTGCATTAATTTTTATTTCATAGTTAATTTTACTATTTTGGAGTAAATTTTATTATTTCCGGATTAATTATTAACTATCTCTAATTAATTTTTATTACAGAATAAATTTTCCTATTCAGAAGTAATTTTCACTATTTCCGGATTAATTTGTACTATTTTGGAGTAAATTTTACTATTTCTGGATTAATTTTTACTATCTTTAATTAATTTTTATTTCAGAATAAATTTTCCTATTCAGGAGTAATTTTTACTATTTCCGGACTAATTGTTACTATTTTGAAGTAAATTTAACTATTTCTAGATTAATTTTTGCTATTCAGGAGTAATTTGCACTATTTCTGGATTAATTTTTATTTCAGAGTAAATTTTACTATTTATGAATTAATTTTTACTATTTTAGAGTAAATTTTATTATTTCCGGATTAATTTTGTACTTTCTCGAATTAATTTTTATTTGAGAACAAATTTTTCTATTCAGAAGTAATTTCCACTATTTCTGAATTAATTTGTACTATTTTGGAGTAAATTCTACTATTTCTGGAATAATTTTGTACTATTCCAGAGTAAATTATACTATTCAGGACTTCAGGAGTAATTTCCACTATTTTTGGATTAATTTTTACTATTTCGGAGTAAATCTTCTTTCCCTCGAGAAAATTTGACTATTTCCGGATTACTTTTTACTATTTCAGAGAAAATTTGACTATTTCCGAAAAAATTTACTCTGGACAAACAGTTTCACTTTGTTAATAGTAATTGAATTTTTTTTTCGTGCAATTATTTTTTTTCTACTATTTTTCAATAAAACCTCTTTAAGTGAGACTTAAATAGTTTTATTTATTTTTTGTTTTAAATTTTATTCTTCTCTTTTTAATTTAATTCTTTTGTACTATTTTTTTTTATCGATTTTTATTATGAAATTATTTTCAAATGAAAATTACCTCGCGTCCTGCACTATCGGGCCAAACGCAGGTTCCACTGTATTCATCAAAGTGAAGTCCAGTGGTGCAGGTTATCGAAATTGATTCTCCATCGATACAATTGTAGAAAACGTTGCAAACTGATGGATTGGGATGAGCGAAAAATCCATTACGTCTCTGACAATTTTTTGTCGGTTGCGGTGGTTCTGAAATTTTTTATTCACTCAATTTTTATAATTGCTTAATTATAATTAAATAATTTTGGTAATTGTTTAGTTTTCATTTTTTTTGAGAAAAGAAATTTCTTTTTTATCGAATTTGTCTTGTGTCCGAATTTATGTCCGAAAAATGTCCGAAAAATGTCATTTCGAAATTTTCATTTTCATGTTCGAAAAATGTCCGTATTTTAATTAAGAATTCCTTCTTCAAAAAAAAAATTGAAATGTAATTGATTGAAAATTATTTTTTTCTAGAGAAAAAAAATTTCTCTTTTCACAAATTGTTTTGTGTCCGAATTTATGTCCGAAAAATGTCCGAATTTTAATTAAGAATTCTTTGTTCAGAAAAAATTGAAATGTAATTGATTGAAAATTATTTTTTTCTATTAAACAAAAATTGCCCTTTTCTCAAATTGTTTTTTGTCCGAATTTATGTCCGAAAAATGTCCGAATTTTAATTAAGAATTCTTTTTTTCAGAAAAAATTTTATATATAATTCTTTAAAAATTCTTTTTTCTTGAGAGAAAAAATGTTTTTTTTTCTCAAATTATTTGGTTTCTAAATTTATGTCCGAAAAATTGATTTTTGATTGAAATAAAAAAAAAAAAAAAATGATTGAAAATTCTTTTCTTTTTAGAAAAACAGAAAATAAATTATTGAAAATTCTTCTTACGTAGTTCAAGTCGATCGCCACAGTCAACATTGAAAACGTGATCACATTTGTTAATTTTTCTATTCAACGGATCGAATACAAGACCATCGGGACAATATTTTTCCTTTGCAACACCATCAGTACATTCATAGTATTTATCACATTGCCTCGAATCCTCAAATTGACCATCGTCCTTTGGACAATTAAAAGCTCCCTCTGGAAAAAAAAATTAAAACTTCAATTCTTTTTTTTTTTTTGCTGACACTAGCAGGAAAATGAAACTTATCAAAACAAGTTCACAAAGTTTAAAAAAAAAATATTTTTTTCTTTTTTTCATTCTCTAATATCTATACATATGATTAGAAAATGTCATCTGGTCTCGTAAGGACGATATATAAAGTACAATTCTTATATAAGAAAGCGACAGAAATAGTTCTGACATTTACGATTTAGAAAGTTAACGTCTTTCTTTCAACTTGGGAATAATAAATCAAAAATTTCTAATTTTCATGATTTCGAATTTTTTTTGTTGTTGTTTCTTTCTCTCTTTCTTTCATTCTTGTTTTTTTCTTTTCTTCGAATTTTTTTTTCTTTGTTATTTTTATTCTTGATAATGAGATTCAAAAAAATTCATTAAAAAAAAAGGTGAAAAAAGAAAGGGAAAGATCATTGAACTCGAAATTCCAAGTCAGACTTGATGCCAGTAAAATTAACTTTCTCTGGGTCTGAACATACATGTTTAAACGAAACAAAAAAAAAAAGAAAAGAAAAAGAAAAATGAAAAGAAAAGAAAAAAGAGATTAAAAAAAAAGGACAAGTGTCTATCTTATTTCACGCCCGAGACTTCCTGGATTTCGAGTTTCAAATCTATCCCGGTTATTTTATTGGAGATTTTTTTTTTAATAAGGAGAGTGGTCAGAACATATAATACTTCATTTCTACTTTTTTGCGTAATTTATATTTTATTATTATTTTAATATATAAGAATAACACTTTTTATTATTACTATATTTTTATTATTAATAAAATAGTAGAATAATTTTATTTATTATTCAAATATTATAGTTTTAATTAAAGCGCAATTATAATAATTTTTTAATAATAATAATAAAAATAATTTTTTTTAATATAATTTTTTTTATTTATTTATAAGAATATTATATTTATTAAATATTATTACTAAATAAATATAATTAGTACTAAACAAATTTAATAATAACATTAAAAATAATAATATTAAAAATAATATTTCTCTATATTAACAGTGATAATAATTTTTATTTATTTATTTACAGATTATAACTAATTGATTATCTAATAAATAAATTAATTAATTAACTTTTTGTTTATTTAACATTCAATATTAATATTTAATAATATTTATATCATATATATGATTTATATATTGTATATGAATAGTTATTAATTATTAATATTATATTCATTTATTAATTAATTATTAATTAATTAATAATTAACATTATTATGTTACAATATAATACAAATATTTTTTTTTCTTTATTAATATTTATATTAATTAATACTAATTATTCTTTATTAATTTTATTTTTATTTTATTATTATTATTATTATTATTTATACTGTTTACTTATACTATTGTTTATTACATATGTTTTTTCACCCTTCGTTATTATTTTCACTATTTCACTAATTTTTTATTTTTATTAAACAAATTAAAAAATTTTATTTTTTATCTATTTTTTATTAAATTGTTTTCGAAGTTTATTAATTTTATTATTTTATTTAATTATAAAAACTAAACGTTTTCTTGTCGTATACTTCGATCGCTATATTATAAAGTACGTCTGACCATAAACAGACAGATCTACTTATTTTCCACAAAACCTTAAAATTTTTATTTCATTGTTCTTTCACTGCCAAGAAGGAATTCATTTTGTAAACCATTTCTTTATTTAAAAATTCATTCTTTCATTATTTTTATTTATTTATTTAATTTTTAATTCAATTTTAATTCAATTCTTTCATTCACATCATTTTTTTATTTACTTATTCAATTTATATTTTTTATACAGAAAAATAACAAAAATTAATTAGTAATAATAAATGGTAGAAAAATATTTTTTTAAAATCATTTCATAAATAATTAATTATTGTTAATAAAAATAAAAATAAAAAAAAATAATAGTAATAATAATAATATAATAGTAATAATAAGAATAAAGTAAAATATTTTTAATATTTAAATAAAAGTTCAGAAAAATAATTTGGCAATAATTATTAACTTTCGACTCGTTTAGTAAAAGAAAATTGTAAAAATTAAAATGTAAAAATATTTTTAATTTTTAAGTAAAAAAAAAAATATTTTTGAATTGAAAAAAATAATTAAGTTACGACTCATTTAATAAAAGAAAATTGTAAAAATTAAGAAGTAAAAATATTTTTAATTTTCAAGAAAAAATAAAATATTTTCTTGATATTCTTTTAATCGAAAAAAATCAAATATTTTTAAATTGAAAAAAATAATTAATTTACGACTCATTTAGTAAAAGAAAATTGTAGATAATTAAGAAGCAAAAATATTTTTAATTATCAAGAAGAAAAAATATTTTTAAATTGAAAAAAATTATTATTTTTCGACACTTTTTTTTCAGTAAAAGAAAATTGTAAAAATTCTGAGATAAATAAAAATGAAAAAAAAAAATTCTTGTATAAAAAGAAGAAGAGAAGTACAAAAGGAAGAAATTAAATTTTATTATAATACAAAAAAAATTCGAAAAAAAATCCCAAATACTTACGTGCAATGGCAATGGCTAATAAAGTTACAAAAATCACTTTAAACATTTTTGTTTATATATTTTTAAAAAAATTTTTATTCTTCTAAAAGGGAATTTTTTGGCTCAGTGAGCCTTTGGAAAATGAATTGAAAAATATTTTTTTCCGACTGTGATGAAAATTGACTTTAAAATAATTTTTTGATGACTCTTTTAAATGGCGTCTTTTCTCGAAGAACTGGAGTTACAACGAACGTCCATCGGGTATACCTTGCTTATCCCCTCTTTCATATAATATTTTCCCCACTTTCGCTTTCCTTTGATTAAAGGATCGCACAGTGGTTATATACGAATTGGAAAAAAAATTCTCACACAATTTTTTTTTTTTTTAAGTGGAATTTAAAAACAAAAAAGAAAATGTACAATTACCAAAAGTTGGATAAAATGTATCAAATTATTTTTTATTAAGATGGACAATTATTTTTTCCACTGCGGGAACTTTGGAATTTTGGTTTTTTTATAAAATGGAAATAAATATGTATATAAAAATTTTAAATCTTTTTATAAAATTATCTTTATTATTTTTTTCTACCGAGAGACGTGCTCACGGACTTCCTTTCTCTTTTCTTCCTTTGCCAGAAAGTACTTTAAAGAAGAATTATTTTATTTATCATTTATTTACTTATTTTATTTTATTATTTATTTATTTTATTTATTTATTTATTTTATTTATTTATTTATTTATTTATTTATTTTATTTATTTTATTTATTTTATTTATTTTATTTATTTTATTTATTTTATTTATTTTATTTATTTTATTTATTTTATTTATTTTATTTATTTTATTTATTTATTTAATTTAATAAATATAATAATTTTATTCATGATTTAATTATGATAAATAAATAAATAAATTTATTAGTCGCAGAATAAAAAAATATAAGTAGAATACAGAAGAAATAATATTTTTATTTTGTTTAATTTTGTTTTAATTGTTATTCAAAAAAAAAAATATATATAAGTAGAATACAGAAGAAAAAATATTTTTATCTTGTTTAATTTTATTTTAATTGTTATTCAATTATTTCAGTTTCATTAGTTGAAAATTCGATTCCGAAAATTTAATCAACTTTTTTGATTAAAAAAGTAAAAAAAAAATGATTAAAAAATAGATTAAATAAAATAAATAAAAAACTTATTATTTTTTATTTTATTTAAAAAATTTCTTACGTTAGGTTTTTAAATTTTTTTTAAACTTTTGACACAGATAAATTGTATACAAATTGTAAGTCTTATATAATTAAATAAAAATTGTGATTTATTTAAATTTATTTAACTCGAAAACTTATTTAATTTAAGTTATCTTTTTTTCTCTGAAACAATTTTTATTTGAGTTTAAATTAGAATAGTAATAAAACAAATGTGAAATATAATAGTGTAAATTTCAGAAGTTTCTTTTTTTCTAATTTAATCTAGAAAAAATATTAAGTAACCGACATTTAAAATTTTTCTTTTACATAAAATAATTATTGTTATTCAGTTATTCATCAGGAGGTGAAAGCGAAGGGAAATTTCGTTTTAAATAACTAATCAAATCGGATCTTCAAATTACTTGAATTATTATCCAATATACTTAACATAATTCGAAAAAGTTTTCTTTCAAGATTGCTCTATTTTTAAATTCAATATTAAATTTTATTTTTTATCTATATTTATTTACGTAAAACGTAAATTGATAATTATTTGTGTATCATTTTTAATATATCTCTATTTATTAATAAGCAATTTAAAAAATTTTTATTTTCATTTTTAATGAAGAAAAAAAACATTGATAACTTGTTAAATAATTTTAGTCACACGAGAAATCGAGAATTTTCGTTCAGAACAAAAAGTACCTAGTTTTATCTAAATATTCGAAAAATATTTTTTAAATTTTTCGTTCACAATAAATTTAAATTAATGAATTAAAATTAATTATTTAATTAATTGTGGAATTTTAAAATTGGTATAAATTTTGAACTTTCCAGAAACTTTCGAAGTAGATAAAAAAAAGTGGTCAATAAAAGAAAAACAAAATAACAGGAGATAAAATTATTCTCGTGGTTTCAGAAAATGTTTCCTTTAATTAAGAAATTTTATCATTTTTCCATCTTTCTTTTATTTATATAAATTTATTTATAAAAAATAGGTTTTTGGATTTTTAATTTAATAATTTGGAAAAGATAATAAAGAATAAATAATATTATTAATAATAAATAATATTATTAAATATTCTTTAATAATAAAGAATAAATTTAATAATAAATAAAGATTTTTTTTATTTGAACAAAAATCTTTTCTAAATTATAAATTTATTTATTAGTTTACATTGAAATATATAAATTTATTTACATAAAAGAAAAATGGAATGATGATAATCTGATTTTATAAATAAACTTTATATTTAATAAATTTCGTTAAATTATTTTTCGAGATAGAGGAAAAATTGATTTGAAAAGAGGTTCCAATTTTTTTTTTTTTTTTGAAGACGTAAAAAATTTTTGTAGAATAATTTTTTTTTATTACAAATACAAAAAATGTCTTAAAAATAATACAGAATTATAAACTAAATTTCTAAGAGGCCTTAGGTTTTCCCCCTCTTCTTCTGCTGGGACCACCAGTGGGCTTTGTTTTTGGTTTTGGATTTTCCAATGCATCCAATTGTTCATCAGTCAATTGTCCTTTGTACCAGTCTTTGCTGAAATAACAAATTTTTTCTTTGTAATAATGTGTTTTTAAAAACTAATTAAATTTGGAAATTGAAAATTAAAATTAAAAATTAAAAATTAAAAATTAAAAATTAAAAATTAAAATTGAAAATTAAAATTAAAACTTAAAAATTAAAAATTAAAATTGAAAATTAAAATCAAAAATGAAGATTAATGAGAATTAATCAATATTAATTTTTTAATAACAATTTTTAATAAGTTAGTACAATAAATATGATTATTATTCGTTTTTTCTTTGACAATTTTAATAAATTAATTTTTAAATCCGAAACGAATTATTGTTTGATTGGAAAATTGTTTTTATTTAAAATAATCTTTAATTTGGAAAAATTTAAATAATTCATTTTTTTAAAAATAATTTTGAGGAAAAAAATTTTTTTAGTCAGTAAAACTTCAAATCTAAAAAAATTTTAACGTATTGTATAAATTATTACAATAATTTTCAAGAAAAAAATTTTCTTACTGTAAGTGAAACTTTAAATTAAAAGAAAATTCTATTTTGTATAACGAAATATTGAATTAATTTAGAAGAAAATTTTTTCAGAATAAATTACAAAAATTACAAAAATATTTTGTACAAAACAATTTTCTTATGAACAAATTCAAATTTTAAAAAATGATACTTTTTTATCAAAATAATCATATAAATTAAAGTAAAATATTTTTTTTGAGAAATAATTTTTTCTTTAGAGAAATAAAATTTTTTTTTAGAGAAATAAGTTTTTTCTTTAGAGAAATAAAATTGTTTTTTAGAGAAATAAATTTTTTCTTCAGAGAAATAAAATTGTTTTTTAGAGAAATAAATTTTTTCTTAAGAGAAATAAAATTGTTTTTTTTTTTAGAGAAGTACAATTTTTCTTTACCGAAATAAAATTGTTTTTTTAGAGGAAATATAATTTTTTTAAAGAAATCATTTTTCTTTAGAGAATAAAAAATAGTTTTTTGAGAGAAATAAAATTTTCTTTTTAAGAAATAATTTTTCTTTTAAAGAAATAAATGATTTTTTAAAAGAAATAAAATTTTTCTATAGAGAAACAAAAGTTTTTTTTTTTTTGCTACAAAACAAAAAAAAAATTTTCTCTCCCACTCTCTAAATTTTTAATACAAACCATTCGGGAATTTTTCTCGCCCAATCACATTTCCCTGTTGCCTCATCAAAAGCCTGTCCAAGTTTACAGCCACTGCGTCGTGGAATTTCCCCATTCACGCAAACATAAAAATATTGACAGTCCTCACTATCGGGATAACGTGGATGCGTCGCTGCCACAGATTCATCAACTTTTGGACATGTGAAATTGAAAAGTTCACGTGAGCCACAACCTTTTTTTTGCGCCTCATCCGGCCAATTGCAAATTCCAGTTTTCTCCGAGAACACCAAACCGTCGGGACACGTGATCATATTAAATTTACCCTCAACACAATAATAAAATGTGTCGCAATTCCTGACGTCCTCGTGGGCAAAGTAGCCGTGCATTCGAGGACAGTGGAGACTTGGATGTGGTGTTTCTGCAAAAGAAAAATGAAGAATTGAAGAAAAAAAAATTGTTTAACAAAGGTCATTGGGATTTTTATTTAATTTAATTTTTATTTATTTTATTCTATTTACTCTATTTTTTTATTTATTTGTATTTATTTCTAAATTTATTCTATCCTTCTTCGTTTCATTTTTTAATTTATTTTATTTACTCTATTTATATTTAATATTTATTTATTTTTATTTATTTATTTATTTATTTATTTTTATTTATTTTTATTTATTTATTTTTATTTATTTTTATTTATTTTTATTTATTAATTTTTATTTACTCTATTTATTTATACTTATTCTATTTATCCTATCCATTTATTTTTATTTATTTTAGTTTAATTATTTTATTCAAAAATCTGACGGAGAGTGGAATCGAACCCCGGTTACGCTAGTACAACCCAAGCGGCGCCTTACACACCGCGGCTATTTTCGACGTCTTTAATTTAATTTATTTTCTTTATTTATTACATTTTTTAAACTATTTTATTCCCTTTAGTTATTTCATTTTTATTTATTTTTCTTATAATTATAAATTTTAATATATTAATAATAATATTAATCCTTATATATAGTTTATTATATTTTCGTTTTTGCGTCATTATATTTTTATTTATTTTATTTATTTAAATTATTATTTTATTTAAAATTTGCCGGAGAGTGGAATTGAACCCCGGTTGCGCTACTAGAATGCTGGCGCCTTACGCACCGCAGCTATTTTTGACATCTTTATTTTATTTACTTTAATTATTTCGTTTTTATAAATTATTTTATTTTTTGTTAAATATTGTATTCATTTCATTGTATTTATTTTACTTATTAATTTTTATTTTTGTCTAATTTATTTTATTTGCTTTATTTATTTTATTAAAAAAATCTGACGGAGAGTGGAATCGAACCCCGGTTAGTCTGGTACAACCCTAACGGTGCCTTACGCACCGCGGCCATTTTCGACGTCTTTATTTACTTTATTAATTTCATTCTTTTATTTACTTTCTTTACTTTAATTATTTCATTTTTTAATTTATTTTATTTGTTTTATTCTATTTGTTTATTTTATTTATTTTGTTTATTCATTTATTTAGTTTGTTTATTTATTTTGTTTATTTTTTTGTTTATTTTTTTGTTTATTTTTTTTCTATTTTTTTTCTATTTTTTAAAATTTTTTTTTAAATTTATTTTTTAATTTTATTTTATTTTTTTTTTTTTATTGATTTATTTTTTTTTTTATTTTTTTATTTACTGAAAAGTAAAACTTTAAACAAAAATTTTTTTATTTGTTATTTACTCACGTAGTTTTGGCCTCTTCGAGCAATCAATACCAAATGGCAAGTCACATTTTTCCTGCTGGGGACTAAAATCATTGAATACTAAACCATCGGGACATAGTTTCTCAGTGTATTTTCCATCTCGACAATCGTAATATTTATCACATTGTTCGGCGTCTGGAAAATAGCCATTTGGCTCGGGACATTCATCCGTAAGTTCATCGTCATTATTATTATCATCCTCCTCATCGCGAACGGGTTCTGGTTTTTTATAAACTTGCGTAGACACTCTTCGACGATTTTGTTCCGCAGATTGTTGTTTCCTCGTCAATGCACTCGCAATGCCTTCAAAAGAATATAACAAGGTTCAAAAAAAAATTTTAACCAAAAATAAAATTTCATTTTTCTTAAATTTATAAATAAAAGGGGTATTTTTTTGTTTAAATAAATAATACATTTTTTAATTATTTTTATTTAAATGTATAAAACAGTATTTATTTAAATATAAAAAAATATTTATTTAAACAGAAAATTATTTATTTAAGGGCATTTGAACCATTATGACGTCACAGCTTAAAAACACATGCTTCTCACGAATTGTGACGTCATAATGGTTCAAATGCCCTTAAACATAGAAAACATTTATTTAAACATAAATATTTATTTACATATAAAAAACATTTATTTAAATATAAAAAAATATTTATTTACACAGAAAATTATTTATTTAAATATAAAAAACATTTATTTAAACATAAATAATTATTTACACATAAAAACATTTATTTAAACATAAATATTTATTTACATATAAAAAACATTTACATAAATATAAACAAAAATTTATTTAAACATAAATTTTTATTTCATAATTTATTAAAAAATATAAAAAATATTAATTTATATTTATTTAAAAATTCGAAAAATTGATAACTAAAATTTTAATTCATAAATAGCTTTTAATACTAATTGTTTAAATATTTAAACATTTTTCTTTCATTTATATTTTATCGAAAATTAATTATTAAAAGGCAATTGTTTTTGTTCTCTTTTTATAGACAATTAAAATATTATTGTTGTTATTATTATTATTTTTATTAATTAAATAATTATAACGATGTTTAATAATAATAATTATTATTTTTATTACAATTTACATTGAAATAATAAATTAATTATGATAATAATTATTTATTATTATTATAACAAATATTTTCATTATTAAATTATTATTCAAACCGAATATAAAATAAAAAAATAATTGTTTGTTTATTTTCTTTCAAATTTGTTTAAAAATTACTTTTTTCATTTTTTACGCTTGCAAATTTCTTTTCGGGTAAAGAAAATAACAAAAATCGATAAAAATGGTTAAAAAAAAAATATTTTCATATAATTTTAAATAGTTAAAATTTTAGTTCTTTTTAACAGGCGTGGCTTTTAACAATGCGGACGTATTTGTTTCGTAGGAAAAATAATTATAAACTCTGTCAAGGTGCGGGGGGCAATTAAAGTTCAGTAAATATTAAAAAAAAATATTATATAAATTAACAATTAAATTGTAACAAAATTTGATGATAAATAAAAGAAATAAAATTAAAAATAGTCTAATTAGTATAAAAATTATAATTGAAAGTATGTAAATTTTTTTTAAGTTAAACAATTAAATTCTGAATTAATAATATAATAATAATAATAAAAATAAAGTAATAATAAATAAATAAATTTTGAAAACAAAAATTAAAGAATAAACAATAAATAATAAATTAAAATAAGTAGAAAAATATAATAAAGAATAAACAATAAATAATAAATTAAAATAAGTAGAAAAATATAATAAAGAATAAACAATAAATAATAAATAAAAATAAGTAGAAAAAATAATAAATAAATGTTGAGAAGAGTAATAAATTAAATAAATTAATTAAATATCACAGGTTTGTTCGAATACATTTATTTAAATAAATAATAAAAAATGAAAAATAATAAATAATTAAATTTTAATATGAAAAGTGAATTTAATAAAATATAAAAAGGAGAAAAAAATTGTTTTTAATCAGTTTCTGATAGGCCGGTGTAAGTTCGACAAGCGAGAAAGTTGTTGAGACTTTCCTCCTTGGATGTATAGTGCATTCTTGTCAAGGTTAAACCTTCAAAAAGAGGGAGAAAAAAAAATTAATTTTTTTTCTCAGTTAGCGGATGGGGTCAAGGGAATAAATTTGAACTCACCGAGACAAATTAGGAGACAAAGAATTTCTCTCTTCATCGTGACGATGAAGAGGAGATTTTAATTGCAGTTTCTACTTGATCTCTCCCAATATATAATCAGGCACGAATATATAACTGATAGTGATAGTTTTAGAGTAATGCAAGAACTTGATGACTAGAGAACTACTGAGACATCGTCTCGGGGCCCAATGGGTCTTATATGTATCCCCCTCTATTGGGCCCCCAGGAACGACAGGTTACAACACTCACTGTTTGTGTCCAAACGCAGGAGATTTCTTTGCTCTTCTGCATAGACTCGTCCCTATAATAAAACAATTATTCGATTGCATCTATAATATTATTATTTTTTTTTTTGCAAAATTTTGACGAATTTATTAAATTTAATTAATTAAATAATAAATAATTGATTTACTATTTTTTTGTATTTAAAGGCACTTTTTTTGTTTTTTTTATATTTTATATTATTTTTATTTATTTATTTATTTATTTAAATAAAATCAATTTAAATAAATAATAATTTAAGCAAAAATAATTAGGACAAGGCGTTTTATATTTATTATTCAATATAATAGTTAGTGATACATTTTTTTTATTTTTCATGTATTTGGTACAATTTGTTTATAATTTATTGTTAGAAATTTTTTGATATTACAATTAGTTTGTTATAATAATTATTTGTTGTTATTCTAATTTCTATTCGTTGTTATTATAATTATTTGTTATTACAATTACAATTTGTTAATTATTTTGTTATTACAATTATTTGTTATTATGATCATTTGTTAATACAATTATTTGTTGTTATTACAATTACAATTTTTTAATTATTTAGTTATTACAATTATTTGTTGTTATTACAATTACAATTTTTTAATTATTTTGTTATTACAATTACAACTTTTTTAATTATTTTATTACAATTATTTGTTATTATTGCAATTATTTGGAATTAATTAATTTATTATTATTTTATCATTACTATCTTTATTATTATTATTGGATCGTGTACATTAATTTGTATTTTTGTCGTTACCTTTAAAAAAAAAAAAAAAAAAAAAAAAAAAAATTGTATTACTATTGTTTTTTATTAATTATTTAATATAACAATTAGTGATACAATTTGTTGCATTTAATTCTGTTTGTAAAAATACAATTTGCTTTCTATTTCTTAATATTGTATTTTTTACAAAAAAAATCTTTTTGTTTTTTGTTCAAAAAAAAATTTCAAGTAAAGAAATAGAAATAAATATAATTTTAATGAAAAAATGTTAGTATTTATAATAATAATTATTATAATTAAATTATAATTTTTGAGTTGTAATTATATTATAATTAAATTATAATTTTTGAGTTGTAATTATATTATAATTAAAATGATAATAAAAATAATAATAATAATATTAATAATAATTATTATAAATAATAAATAAAAATAATAAAAGAAATAAAATAAAAATTTTCCTTTTCATTCCATTTTCAGAAAAAAAAATTTTTTTTTACTTATTTTGCAATAAAAAGATGGAGTTTAAATGGAAAATTCATAAAGAAAATTTTTATCTAAATAAAAAATTGTTAATTAAAAAAATTTTCTTTTTGGTAATTAAAACTTTTCATTGAAAACTTTTTTCACTTTTATTAAAAATATTTTTGAGAAAAACGCTAAAAAAAAATTAAATCTCACAGGGTGAGAAATAAAATCACCTTGACATTCCAGGATTCTAATGTCAGCGGGCACCCGGTCACCAGTTTCCAGGAGGACAATGTCCCCGACTTCCAATTCCGTTATAAATTCTTTTTTTCTCATTGTCTCGCGAGACTTTTATATCCTTTCGTGGAAAATTAAGTTTATTTATTTCAGAATCTCTATAAATATATAACCGTAATTTCTCATAAATACCATTAAGTTTAATCACTTTTTTCTAATTACGTTCTGGTAATTTTAGATTTTTTTTATACCTCTATATAAATTTTTAATTAAAAAAGTACAAAATTAAAATATCAACTTTATTTTCTTTATTTCCACTTTTGAAAAAATTGTTGTTTTTTAAAAGAATTTGGCAATATTATATTAAAAAATTATTATATAAACAGAAATAATTAATTAATTTAAATAATTAACAAATTATAATTTTTTATTAAAATTTTTTTATTAAAATTAAATTTATTTTTTTTTATTCAAAAAACAGAATCAAAATTATAATTTTGTTCATTTTTCAGAAACGCACGGAAGTATTTATGTTGCCTAACGAAAGGGGTGCATACTCCCTGTTGAATGGCGACACGTTCAACACTCGACAGAGAAGGTAAAAAAAACCATTCACAGATAATATAGAAATGATTTTTTTACTCGTTATCTACATTCGATACAAACGTTTTAATCATGTTTCGATGACAAGGCAGAAAACTGCAGATCTAACGATGATAAAACCGTTTGAAGACAACGAAGAAATTGTTAATTGATTCTTTTCAACAATTAAAACAAAAGAAAAAAAAAATGCTACATTGAAGGTTTTTTAATAAAAATAATAATAAAATGTTATTACTTAACAAGTATTTAAAAAATTAAAAAAAAAAATTTAAATAAAAGAAAAATGCTGCATTGAATGGTTTTTAATAAAAATAATAATAAAATGTGGTGTATAATTTATTTACTTAACAAATATTTAAAAATTTTTAATTTTAAATTAAAAAAAAAAAAAAAAAAAAAAAAAGTGATATTTAAAATGAAAACAAAATTAAAATTATAGTTATTTAAAAATTAGCAATAAATAAATAAAAATAATAACAAAAAATGATGTACAAATAATTTTTTTCATAGTTAATTAACATATTATTCAAAAATTATTTAATTAGTGGTTAGTTAACAAAAAATCCGCTAATATAAGACAAGTGGCACCAAAAAATAAATCGAAATTTTGGCGCCACTTGTCTCATATCAGCGGATTTTTGAGAAACTAAACTCTTTTTTTTAATTATTAATTTCTTTATCTTTTGCTATTTTTTTATTGAAATACTAGCTGTCGTACCCGTCTTCGACGGGTTTTAGTTTCTACCAATACATTTAAGTTTCTACCAATCTGGAAAATCAGGAAATAGCTAGGGAATTTAATTTGACCGGAAAAAAATAATAATTAGTTACCATTATAGCTATTTTAGTAGGAAAATATTACTATTTGAATCAGTGATTGACTTTTTGTTATCAAATTAGTTATTTTAACCAATTCAAATGCAGAGAACAATATTTATCAATTTGTAGTACTTTAATTAATGTATTAAAAAAATTAAATTTTCCATACAGTTTTTGGAGTTATAGTAGAGTCTAATTGGAACTAATTGTATCGCAAGTAGACCCTACGTTACGACTGCTAAAACCTAACATAAGACCTAAATTTTAGGCTGAAAGTAGAGCTTAAATTTTGACTCGGGTCTGTTTTCATAAATATTATACATCAATAAAAATTGAAGTAAAAAGCAATTTTTTAAAAGCGAATTAATATAATGAAACTTTTTCTTAATTTGATAGGAAAATTCCCGGTTCGGCATATTCCCAGCTTTTTACAGTTTTTCCCGTTTGGTAGATACCCAGTTAAATGTATTAGTATAAACAGAAAACTATACGACAGCAAGTAATACAATCTATATTTATATGAACTTAAGAAACAGTATTTTCATAAAATAAGTAAATTTTTATAGCCATTTGTAGATTTATTTATGGATAAAATCAAGTAAATTTAAATTTGACAAAAAAGAGATAAACCGTGAAAAGTTTGGACAAAGCAGGGAATTTTGTTAAACAAAAATAGACACCGTGTTAACTTTTGTCTTTACATTGCTCAAAACATCTCTTAAAGTTAAATCTAGAGTTAAAATGAAAAAACGTTTTAACATGTAAGTTTTTGCCTAGTGGCATAATATGCTTGTATTGTATCACAGGTGACTTACAATTCTTGACATCCTGCGAAATCATTTTAATCATAAAAAATTTCCATTTTCAATATTTCTGAACTTCTTGAAAATATTAGATTGATTTGATAAATAATTTTGAATTGCACTATTTTGACATCAAAATATTAATCAGAGACTCCAAAAATACTACTGAATTATACTTCATATAGTAATTAGTATCGATTTTTTGATATATTGAAAATTTTTTTATATTTCTTGTAGGATAGTATTTTTTGCAAAATTATGATAAAATCTGACTAAATAACATATAATATTCATTTTTAGAAAGTTTAAAAGCTATCCATTAAAAATTGTGAAATTTGGAAATTTTCCATTTTTCAAGTTTTTGAAAATATTTTTATATTTACATCTTAGTTGTAGAATAGTATTTTTTGAAAAATTATGCTAAAATGTGACCAAATAACATGTAATACTCAAATATAGAAAGTTTAAAAGCAATCCATAAAAAAATGTAAAATTTTGAAATTTTCGATTTTTTGAAAACATTTTTATACTTACATATTAGTTATAGGACTTTATTTTTTGCAAAGTTATGCTAAAATGTGACTAAATAACATATAATACTCAAGTATATAAACTTCAAAAGCAATCCATGAAAAATAAAAAATTTTGAAATTTTCGATTTTTTGAATTTTTTGAAAAAATTGAATATCTCCCGTTCTAATTAATATTTTTTAAATCTGTAAATTTATAAACCTTCCTTGGGTCAATACCTAATAACCTACCAAGTTGGACTTAAATCGATTCACATGTTTTTGTGTGATTGGGGTACAAAGTTTTTGTGACAGACAAACATACATACATACATACATACATACATACATACATACATACATACATTAAATTTTTTAAGAACATTTTTGGAATCTCTGATGTCCATAATAACTAATCATGTTAACATTTTGAAGTTTTAAGCAATGTACAGACAGACATCTGATTTTATTAATAAGGATAAAGAAAACGAAAAAAAAACCAAAAACAAAAACCTCAAATAAAGGCGTTTTTTTTAAAAATACACCCAAAATCATCAAAAAATACGTTTTTTGACAAATTTATCTAATTTAAATGTTTTTTGTAGTTTAAAAAGTTTATAGATAATAATTACTAATTTACTAATTAATTTAATAAAAAATTAACCATTTTGTAGTAATTTCGTAAGAATTAACTATTAAATAATAAACAAATAATTTTACAATGAAAAAGAGGATTTTAGGAATTGCAAGAAGGGATAATTTAAGTTTTTAATAAAAGAACAATCAATTTTTTATTGCATAAGTGTTTATTCGCCATTCACTCGTAAACAGTTTTTTTTTTTACATTGTCGTGAGAGCCGCGACCTTAATTAACCGTCAATAGTTAATTATTTTCTTAGATTCTGATAATATTTTCAATATTATTAATTATTAATAATAGTGTGGTTGCGTAGTTTTCATTTACATTCATCAATCGATTGGGAAAAGTTGCGGGTGCAATCTGACTATCAAGCAACATGATTAGTTTTTCTTTTCATTTCTTTATTTTTTAAATTGTGCGCTCTCGATTCTTAAAATTCTAATCGACACACATGGCACTGTATAATGAATTTGAGCTCGCCATTAAAACGTCAATGAAATTTTCATAAAGAAGAAAAAAAAAATAAATAGTAAATTTTGTAAAATATTTCAAGAAAAAGGAATTCAAGAAAAAAGAATCTGGAAATTTTTTTTTTCATTACAACGTTTTAGTGGCAGCTTAAATAAAATGAGTCTATTGTCGATTGACATTTTGACTGGCGAACGAATTATTAATAGAATACAATATATTAATTAGGTTTTATTTTCACAACTTTTTTTTTTTATATCACTTACGTAATACAATTTGAAAATTTAATTCACTAACGATCTTGTCGGAGGAAAATTCTTCCGACAGGAGATATATTTTTCATGCTTTCTTCACTTCTTTTTTTCATTTTTTTTTTTTTTTTTTTTTTTTTTTTTTGTTAAATAATCACAGACGTGTGCCAAACGTAGTAGGCTTTCAAAAATCTAACATTAAACACTATGCGTCTTACAATTTCGGATAAAATATATATAACAGACTTATTATCCGAATATTGTTTATTTTATTTTCAACGGGAAAAATATGTCATCTTGAATGTTTTTTTTAGAAACAGGAAGACATAATTTTGCCACTTTATATATCAGAAAATTAATTATCATCATCGATAAAAGAGAAAGAATTACAAAAAAAAATTCTCAAGCACACTTTTCTTTTAATTCCATTTGAATTAAAAACTTAATTAGAAAAATCTTATCTTAAAATATTAAAATTAAATACACAGTGTAAAAATACGTTTTAAACGTATTTTCTCTAAATAATATTTTTTTTTTAAATCTCCACACAATTGAATAAATTTTTAGATAAAAATATAAAATAGGAAATAAAAAATAAAAAAGAGTGAAATTAAAAAAAAGAAAATATTAATTCCCGCTGAATAATTAATTTTCATAATACGTACACACGGTCACACCTTGTACAATTAGTTACATAAAAAAAATATTGTGTTAAATTATCAGATAATTGTTTCAATCGCTTAATCTTAATTAGATTAAGGTCCGATTATTTATAGCATATAATATTATAATATATATATTTTTTTATAAATATCTCACAAGCATTCTCTATTTACAAAAAATTACTTTCTCATCGTCAGTCTCTCTCTCTCACACTTTTCGAATTTTGCACTTTTTCGAATAAATTTCATGAAAAAAACTGTCGGCAAAAAAATTAATTTTAAAAAAGTTTTTAAAAGAATGTTTCAAAAAAGTGAAAAAAATTTCATAACTCAAAAAGGAGACGTAAATATATCGATCTTTAATTTTATAATAAAATTTTTTACCTAATTCAATTTTATTTAATTTAATTGCAAATTTATTTTGCGAAGTGCTTTCCAAATTTTTTGTTAATAATTAAATATTTAATTATTCAATTATGAATTATTAAATTTTTATTTTATTAATTATTTATTAATATTAATTATTTTTATTTTAATTATTAATTATTTTTATTATAATTATTAATTATTTTTATTTCAATTATTAATTATTAATATTAAAATATTATAATTATTAAATTGAATAAAATTTAATTATGAAATTAATATTTTAAAAAACGATTGCAAATACTTAGACGTTGCGTAACGAACGTTAATTAATAATTTTTTCTCATAATGCGTCTCCTACACACATTTCAAAAAGGTTAATAAGCGATTTGGACAATGATATTAAATTAACACGATTTTTCTCAGGGTCATATTGAGTCAAGGACCCTAAAAAAAAAAACCACCGTCCAGACATTCGATGAGTTAGTAAATATTCGTCCCACGCAAAATCTGAGATTTTAGTGACAGAAGAAAAAAAATTATCGTTAAATATTACCACAAAAAAAACCACAGAAAATAAAAATAGAAAAAATCAAAAAGGAATTTCAAATTTTATATTTATAATTTTCAAATAACAATTTTTTTATTCTCTCTACATAGCAAATAAATATTAGCGGCTTATGTTAAGTGCCAGCACTCACTAGACCGCATTATTTCATTTACAATAAATCTTTTTTTTTATTTATTCTTTAAGAATTATTAATACCAACAACTTTGAGTTCTTCCCCCCAAAAGAAAAAAAGATGAACGAAGGAAAAAGTGCAAAATTCGAAGTAGAGTTTTCATGCCTCCAGTCTCTGTTACTAAAGAAAATTCTCGAAAAGTTCAATATTTCGAATTTTAAAAATATAAATAAGTCAAATCGAAAAAAAGCTAATATTTTCATTTTTGTATAAATTATTAAATATCCTAAAATTTTGTTCGCCATTTAAAAAAAAAAAAAAATGGGAATAAATACACCAGGGAAAAAATACTTTGGATCCGAACGAGCACTGAGAGAAGCGACCCCCCACCATGCCGGCGTCTTCCCCCTCTTCGTCCACAAAGTGGGGGACCGCTTCTCTCAACAGCTTCTTCAATACTTAATTTGGATAATTTTAAACATTTTAAATATTATTACTGTAAAATATATCCTATTTAGGAGTTAAAATATCCAATTTAGGAATAAAGCTAAAAAAATACCAATAATTAGAAAAAAAATATCAATAATTAGAAAAAAAAAATAAAAAATAGAGAAAAAAAATATTTGATTTAGTGACGAAATTTTTCGTATAATATAAATAAAAAGAGGCATTTTCAAATAATCATTCACACATATTAGCAAGAAAGCCCTGTACATAATTATTTATAGGTATTTTTTCTTTTTTCTTTTTTTTTACAGACATGAGGCGGTCCGAATGTGTTATTTAAAAAGGCACTAACTCTCAATGATCCGAACTCAAGAAATGTACAAAACGAATCACCGAACACGCCGTCACGTCACCAAAGGAATACCTATAATACAGGGATCGTTTCATTTACACGCAAATATTCAGTGTATTTTTTTTTTTTGTTTTTTATTTCTCGGACGCAATATTCGATGCCGTGCAATTTCGTTTTAATTGCGTGTTATAGTATTACTATTTTGGCAGTCAGAAATTGATTTTATAAATTATATGGCGACTTTTAATCTTATAAATTGTGACAATGGCAAATTTACTGTAATTTTCCATTTTAATTTTCACTAGATAATATTTTCTATTCAATAAAATTTATTTGATGAAATAATTTCGTTTTTTTTCCCCATCAATTATGATAAAATTCATTTTACGAGATAATTTTTTTCTACTATTCTGTGAGATTTATAAATTAAATAAATTTTGTTTTATTTGATAATTTATTAACAAATTCATTAAGAAATTAATTAATAAATTCATTAACAAATTCATAACCAAATTCATTAACAAATTAATTAATAAATTCATTAACAAATTCATTAACAAATTTTATTTGTCAATGAACTAATTTCTATTTTACTAATTGATAAAATTTGTTAATTAAATTAATTTATTATTAAAAATTAGTAAAATTTCATTAATATCGTAAATTTAAAAAAAATGATTATTTTCCTTGTTAATTAATTTACTACGTAATAAATAGACCAGTTAATTAATTTTTTAGTTAATTAATTTCCAAGGTAATAAATAATCCAGTTGATTAATTTTTCAATTAATTGATTTACTAGGTAGTAAATAAACTATTTAATTAATTTTCCAGTTAATTAATCTTCTAGTTAATTAATTTATTAGGTAATAAATAAATCAGTTAATTAATTTTCCAGTTAATCAATTTTCCAGTTGAAATATCTTCTAGTTAATTAATTTACTAGGTAATAAATAAACCAATTGATGGATTTTTCAGTTAATAAACCTTCTAGTTGATCAATTTTCCAGTTAATTAATTTACTAGGTAATAAATCTTCTAGTTAATTAATTTTTTAGTTAATTAATTAACTAGGTAATAAATAAACCAGTTAATTAATTTGCCAGTTAATTAATTTACTAGGTAATTAATAAACCATTTAATTAATTTACTAGGTAATAAATAAATCAGTTAATTAATTTTCCAGTTAAAAAATCTTCTAGTTAATTAATTAACTAGGTAATAAATAAACCATTTGATCAATTTTTCATTTAATTAATTTTCCAGTTAATAATTTCCCAATTAATTGATTTTACACTTAATTTAATACCTATTTGAACCAGTTATTAAAATTCAACAAATGAAATTATTTCGTTTCACTAATTAATGAAATTTACTAATAAAAAAAAAATTTTTTTCTTAAGTTATAATTTAATAATTCTTTCGAGTTATTGGTAAATTTTATAAATTCCTTTAATTTTATCAAAATAGTAGAATTTATCATTTTGGAAAAAATTAATTTTAGTGGGAATCAAATTTTAATTGATAAATTAAAATTGTTAAATTAAAATAATTAAAATTCGATAAATTAAGAAACATTTTTTAAAGTATTAGAAAATGATTGTGAAAATCTATAAAATTAAATGCGACAAAATGTCGCATTTAGTTGAAAAGAAAAATAAATAAATAATAAAAGCTTTTAGAAATATTAAAAATAAAATTTGATTGAAAACTTTTACGTCCATTGAAATAAATCGTTGGAAGGTCACACGTGCGTCTATCTCGCGTTTAACGGTCCCTGAGTTTAGATATCATCCTAAAATTTTTGTTGTTTTTATAAATATAGTATTATAAAATATATAAAATGTATAAAATATATATTTTGAATATATATTTTGAATATATATTTTGAATATATATTATGAATATTTTGAATATACATTTAATGTATATATTTTATACAATTATACATTTTATATAAACCGAAACTATTTGAATACAGAATTTTGGTCACGAGTGCAAAAAAAAAACATTTATTACCTCGAGATTTATTCATTATCTCTGGTTATTTCCTCTTTTTTTGTTATTTTAACTGAAGAAAATTCATCCTTTCTTTGCGTTCGTTGACCGCAACAATACAGATCGACTCTTTCTTTCTCATCTCGCGAATGTTGCCTCAAGAATCTTTGAGAATCCTTTCCCATCATCAAGTTGCACCAAGCATCGAGAATTCGTCCTGCTTCTCATTGTGCTTCTCTCTTTATATTAATATAGTTAATGCCAAAAATTAAGCCACCAGTGAAATGATGACGGTGACGAAAGTAAAGATTGATACCGATAACATCATTGAATTTGATGCTGGTTTTTCTTCTTCGCCTGGACGTTTTTCCTCATGCGATGGATCTACGAGAAGAAAAAAAATTTTTATTTTTAATGTTATTTATTAATTAATAATGACTGCATTATATTTTCATTTTTATTTTAGTCGTTAAATAATTTTTATTTTTATTATTAAATCTACATTTTCTATTTAATTTAATAAAAAATTTTAATAAAAAATACTTTTAATAAAAAAATAGTGTAAATGACAAAATACTTCTAAGAAAAAAATAGTTTTAATAGAAAAATAGTTTTAATAAAAAATAGTTTTAATAGAAAAATAGCTTTAATAAAAAATAGCTTTAATAAAAAATAGTTTTAAAAAAATAGTTTTAATAGAAAAATACTTTTAATAAAAAAATACTTTTAAGAAAAAATAGTTAATAAAAAAATACTTCTAAGAAAAAAATAGTTTTAATAGAAAAACAGTTTTAATAAAAAATAGTTTTAATAAAAAATAGTTTTAATAGAAAAAAACTTTTAATAAAAAAATACTTTTAAGAAAAAATAGTTTTAATAGAAAAATACTTCTAAGAAAAAATAGTTTTAATAGAAAAATAGCTTTAATAAAAAATAGTTTTAATAAAAAATAGTTTTAATAGAAAAACACTTTTAATAGGAAAATACTTTTAAGACAAAATAGTTTTAATAGAAAAATACTTCTAAGAAAAAAAATACTTTTAAGAAAAAATAGTTTTAATAGAAAAATACTTTTAATAAAAAAATACTTCTAAGAAAAAAATAGTTTTAATAGAAAAATAGTTTTAAATAAAAATTACTTTCAATCAAAAAATACTTTCAATAGGAAAAAATAGTTTGAATAAAAACAAGTATACAAAGTAATAAAAATATTTTCGAAAATTTCCAATAATAAATAAATTTAATGAAAGTATAATTTTTCCTGATCAAAAGAAAGAAAAATAATAAATTACCTAATGTTGTTGGACCCATTCCTGATCCAGAGGCCTCGTGTTCATCATCATCATCATCATCATCGTCGTCGCCATTATAACCATAATCATTTTTGTTCTCGTACTCGTAATCCTCCTCATTGTCATTTCCTCCTCGTGCTCTAGCTCCACCACTGCCCGATCCGTCAAAAGCCTCGTCAGCCAATGGCATTCCAATATCAGGCGCTAGTGATAATTGTGATTGGACCACCTGCAAAAAAAAAACAAAAAAATTATTTAATCTTCTTTTTAAAAAAAAAATTTTACTCAATTCAATGATTTTCAATATCTACTATTTTCATAAAATTTTCCAAAAGAATTCAATTATTTAGAGAAAATTTGATAAAATTCTACGCAAATATTTAATTATTTTCATAAATAATAAAAATTTCACAGGAATTCAATTATTTACAAATTTTTAAAAAAATTTCTTCGCAATAATTCAATTATTTTCATATTTTATATGAATAAAACTCATCGAAGAATTTCAATTATTTTTAGTACAATTTTAATAAAATTCCTCGAAAAATGTGATTATTCTTAAAAATTGTATTAAAATTCGTCAGAATAATTATTTAAAAAATTTTTGATAAAATTCTTTTTATTTTTCTATTTAAATAATTGAATTCTCGGAGAATTTTTTTAATAAAAATTGATTTAAAAATGAATTTTAGATAATAATTTAATATTAAAAGCATTATAGCGTGAATTTTTAGAAACAGTTGAATTTTCAAAATGTTTCAAATTAAAATCTTTGAAAATTAGAATTTTCCATATTTTTAATTAACAATTCTATAAAATTATTTTTTTTTGAAAAAGTTTAATTGAGTTTTTTTTAAATTATTAAAATATAGAAATAAATGACATATTAAAATATAAATAATTTATTGAATAATTAATTATTTCTAAAAATTGAATTCTTATACAGAACTTTATCACATTTTTTTTTTTAAATAAATTAATTCTTTCAAAGAATTTCAATAAAATTCTCAAGAATAATTGCAGTTTTCGAAGAAGACCTTTAAAATTGTATTAAAAACAATTGAAAGTAAATTAAGTTAATTGAATAATTAAATTCCTGTGACTACATTACAATTTATAATAATAATAATAATAATAATAATAATAATAATAATAATAATAATAATAATAATAATAATAATAATAATAATAATAATAATAATAATAATAATAATAATAATCTACACAATTGTTAGTTAAAAAAATGAAAAATTCAGACTTTCAAAAATTTTAATTTGAATATTCTATGAAAATTCAATTTTTTAAATACAAAAATAAATTATTTATTGAATTCTCATAAAGAATTTTATAAACAAATTTTGAAATACTTAATTTATTTTGACGAAATTAAATTAAAATTGTATTAAAAAGTAATTGAAATTTTGTGATGAGTTTTATTTATGAAAATAATTGATTTCCTAAAAAGAATTTTATTATTTATGAAAATAATTGATTTTCTAAAAAGAATTTTATTATTTATGAAAATAATTAAATTTCTAAACAGAATTTAAGAATTTATGAAGATTATTGAATTCTTGACTAAAATTTTCGAAAATAATTTAATTCTTTAGAAGAATTTTAATAAAATTATAAAAAATTACATTTTTTGACAAATTTATATCAATTATTATTTTAAATTTTAACTGAAAGTCAATTTTAAATCAATTTTTATTAGAAAATTCAACGAGAATTCAAATATTTAAATATAAAAATAAATAATTTATTGAAGTATTACCTTTGATGTTTCATAAAATTGTACTAAAAATAATTGAAATTCTACGATGACTTTAATTCATAAAAATAATTAAATTCCTAAAAAGAATTTTATTATTTATGAAAATAATTGAATTATTGCAAAGAAATTTATAAAAAAAATTTGCAAATAATTGAATTCCAGTGGTATTTTTATTATATTTATGAAAATAATTAAATGTTTGCGTGGAATACTGTTAAAATTTTTTAAAAATAATTATTTAAAAAAATTCTAACAAAATTCCACGCAAACATTTAATTATTCTTTTGGAAAATTTTATTAAAATCATTGATATTGAAAATCATTAAATTGAGGAAAATTTTTGGAAATAATTGAAATTTTTGCAAAGAATTATATTAAAATTTTTGAAAATAATTTAATTTTGGAGAAGAATTTTTTTTTTTTTAAAGATAATTGAAATTTTTACGAGAATAATTTTTAATTTTTCAACATAATTGAATTTCCACGAAGAATTTTATTAGTTTCGAAAATAATTAAATTTCTGCTATCATTTGTAACTTTTTTAAAAAAAATTAATTATTTTAGTGTTTTTAACTTAAATTCATATTTAAATTTATTTTTCATTCATTTAACTTTTATGCTTAATAATTTATTGAATTCGATTAAAATTGTAATTTTGCGTTGAGTTTTTTTTTCTATTTTTCAAAAATCTAAATTCTTCAAAATTTCTAATTAAATTCATTGAAAATTGAAATTTTCTAAAATTTCATATTAAAACTTTTTGATGTTCATATATTTTTTTAAAATCATAAACTTTTAAAATTGAATTAATTTTGAAATATTTAAGTAAAATTATTCATTAAATAATTTATGAATAATAACTTTATGACAGTTGTTAAAGATAATTAAATTATTTAAAATAAATTATTGTCAGAAATGGAAAAAATGCAAAGTTTTGTATTAGAATCGGTGGTAATTTTCTAGTTTATGAGGCAAACAAAAAAAAAACACCAAAATTAAAAATTTTCTTATGAATTCTAAAAATTAATTAGATTTCAAGAATAATCACAATAACTTTGGAAAACAACAATTTTCCAGGATTTCGGTCAAAATTCCCTGACTTTTCCAGATTTTTTCAAGATTTATAAAATTCCCTGACATTTCCAGGTTTTCCAGGTTTCCAAGTTGCGTAGCATCCCTGGTCTAGTGCTTAAATAACTTTTGAAAAAATTGCCACCGAATAAAATATTTCGTTTATTTGAAAGTTCAAATTTTTAGTAAAATGGGCGTAAGTAAATTAAATAAATTAAATGAATTAAATGAATTAAATGAATTAAATAAATTAAATGAATTAAATAAATAAAATAAATTAAGTGAATTAAATAAATTAAATAAGTTAAATAAATAAATGAAATAAAGAAAATGAATAAAATAGAGTAAAAATAAATTAATATTGAACTAAAAATTAAAAAAAATGAAACTTTTCTTTTTTATTAACGAACCTGAGTCGTTATATTGGATTTTGAAGCAATGACACCACAAGTGCTAGAGGACAACAACGATTATATATATGTATACATAATTGAATGTCTGAGTAGTAGCGCGTGGGAGATGTCTACCTTGGTGATGCTAATCGGCTGACTCTCTGACGGTTTTGAGCATGTCAAAACGGCTATATTGGTGTCATTACCTGAACGCACACAACAATAAGAGAGAGAGAAGAGTGAATCATTTATTTGAACCTACGAATATAGTAATACTATAAACAAGTTAGAGGCGATTTGTTCGAATCAAAGTGCGAAGATGAATATCTCAAATCACCCTTTTGTAGATTTTACGACTTGAGCTAATACCGTCTACATATGCGTGTTGCTACGATATATGCTAATTTAACCTCGACATCAAGCCGTCCAAGGAGCCGAGAAGTGCCACTTATTACTGTATATAATTCATTAGCATCGTCTCGTAAAAGGTGTTAATGTTCTTTCTATAATTATTCAGGGAGAGAAAAGAGAAGGAATTTCCTTTCTGTTTCTTTAAAATATGTTTCAATAGTTTTTATATTATATGATTTATACATTTGTATTTTTTTGCAGGCTTCGGATTGAATTTAATACAATTTAAATTAATCTCACGAAAATATTTTTTGCATTTTATTTTATCTTTTTATGTTTTACTTTTTTCTTATATTTATTTTTTTATTTATTACTTTTTTCTTATTTTTATTTTTTTATTTATTACTTTTTTCTTATTTTTCTTATTTTTATTTTTTACTTTTTTATTATTTTAATTTTTACTTTTTCTAAAAGTTATTGAGGGATAAGATTCTCCACTTGAGAACGCCAAGGTCGCCACCAGATGGCAGTAAAAATTCAAAGAAGGAACTGAACTGCCATCTAGCGGTGACCTTGGCGTTCTCAGGTGGAGAATAGCGTCTCTCCATTTTGAATCTCCAAATTTTCGTCGATATTTGTAATTCTATAATCATATTTAATTAAATTTGTGTCAAAAAATGGAAAAGTATTTCTCCTTCAATTAAATTAGTGTAGAGTAAAGTAGAAAAAAACTTACTTGGTTAATATGCCTGAGCTGGTCAATTAAAACACTGGTATTGCTATTGCTATTGTCGTGACGACTGCCTCCATCGGCTGCACTACTTGATGATGCCGATAACGTAAACTCTGGATTGTACTTCTGAGCAAGAAGACTTGAATCAACGACGGTCTTCACATACCTACAATCACAATTTACAAAAAAGAATATTTAGAAATTATATCTACAATTTTTTTTTTAATTAAAGCAATTATTAAACAATTATTAAATTACTATCTTCTACACTGAAAAAAAGATTTAATTGATTCAATTAACCGATTAATTGACTATTATCCATTAAATATTTAATTGAATCAAATAATATTTATTCGAGTCAATTAAATGGTATTTGATTCAAATACTGAAATTATTGGTTCAAATACAATTTAATTGACTCCAATAAATATTATTTGATTCAAGTAAATATTTAATTGATAATAGTCAATTAAATGGATATTTGAATCAATTAAATTTTTTTTTCAGTGTAGAATTTTTATCTAAATGATTTATAATGATTTATAATGATTTATAATGATTTGAAATTATTTTTTATAATGATTCCTTAAATTATTTATTTTTAATAATTTTTTAAACAGTTCCTTGAGAATTTTCAAATTCATTTGTTCATCATTTGTTCAATTTCGTTTATTCAGAAATTCTTCAATTAAATATATATTAGAAAATTACTTGAAATAATTTTTAAAAAAATTCAAACTTTTTCAAAAAATTAATTCTATTCTGAATTGTAAGTTAAAAGTATGAAAAATTGAGATTTTCAAAGATTTTAATTTCAAACCTTTTCAAAATTCAGTTATTCCTAAAAATTCATTAATGCTTTTAATATTCAATTATTATCTAAAATTTTAACTGAATTTCATTTTTAAATCAATTTTTATTAGAAAATTCTACCAGAATTCAAATATTTAAATACAAAAATGTTATTAAAATGTTTGAAAATAAATGAAATTTTTGCAAAGAAATTTATTATTTATAAAAATAAGTTAATTCTTTTAAGAAATTTTATTAATATTTGCGAAAATAATTGAATTGTTTCAAAGAATTTTAGTGGAATTTTTAAAAATAAATGAATTTTTTCTAGAAATTATATTAAAATTGTATTGAAAATAATTGAATTTCTGTAAATAATTTTGTAATTTATAAAAACAATTAAATTCTTTCGAGGAATTCAATACAAAGTTTTCAAAAGAAAATTAAGGGTTAAAATATCAATTAAAAAAACATTAGAAAATAATTTTAATCTACTTTTTAAAATAAGAAAATATATATAAGTAGTATAGGTCAATTGTAGTCAGACAAAAAAGAATTAAATTCTTTCGAGGCTTTCAATACAAAGTGAATATTGGAAAAAATTTAATTCTCCTATACAAATTTATCAACAAATTTTTAAGTAGTTGAATTTTTTTGACGAATTTTAATAAAAATTTTTTTAAAACAATTACATTTTTCGACAAATTCCGTGAATTACGTGAAATTTCGATTATTCGCCAATTCTTCAAATTAGAAATATTTTAGAAAATAAAAATTTCAAATAATTGCAAAAAAATTTAATTAAACTTTTTCAAAAAAAAATTAATTCTACAGAATTTTTAGTTAAAATTATGAAAAATTAAAATTTTCCAAGATTTTAATTTGAAATCTTTTCAAAATTCAATTATTTTTACAAATTCATACTATAATGCTTTGAATATTGAATTATTATCTAAACTTCATTTTTACATCAATATTTATTAGAAAATTCTACGAGAATTCAATTATTTAAATGTAAAAATAAATAATTTAATGAATAATTGAATGTTTCTTAAAATTGAACTCTCATAAAGAATTTTATCAGCAAATTTTTAAATAATTGATTTTTTCGAGGAATTAAAATTAAAAAAATATTTAAATATTTTTAAAATTATATTACATTTAATATTACATTTGTAAAATTGTATTAAAAATAATTGAAATTCTCCGATGAGTTTTATTATTTGTAAAAATAGTTAAATTCCCAAAAAGAATGATATTATTGATGAAAATAATTGAATCTCCCCTTTAAAAAAATTTTATGTTTTATGAAAATAATGGAATTATTGCGAAGAAAATAAAAAATTTGCAAATAATTGAATTCTTGTGAAATTTTTATTATTTATGAAAATAATTTAATGTTTGCTTACAATTTTATCAAAAAATTTTTTTTTTAAATAATTGAATTCTTTTGAAAAATTTATTAAAATAGTAGATTTATTGAAAATCATTTAATTCATGAAAATTTTTGAAAATAATTGAAATTTTTCCAAGAATTTTATTAAAATTTTTTTTAAATAATTGAATTTCGGAGATAATTGAAATTTTGAATAAAATTTAAAAAAATTTTTGAACATAATAATTAAATTTCTGCGAAGAATTTTATTACTTTTGAAAATAATGAATTTCTGCAATTATTTATTGTAACTTTTCCCAAAATTAAATTTTTTTTTTAGTGTTTTTAACTAAAAATCTTCTATAAATGCATTATTTTTAATAATTAATTAAATATTTGTTAAAACAAATCAACTAATTTCAGAAGAATTGAAATTATTTAAATTTTTCAAAAATCTAAATTCTTTAAAATTTCCAATTAAATTCATTGAAAATTGAAATTTTCTAAAATTTCAAATTAAAACCATTCGAAGTTCATCTATTTATGAAAATTGTAAACGCAACTCTTTTAAAATTCAATTAAAAATTACAAAAAATATAATAATTAAAAATAAAAATATTAAATATTAAGGTATAATTATTATTAATTAAATAATTAATAATTTTATGATAGTTCTTCAAAAAATTAAGTTAGGTGAATAGAAATTATTGTCAGAAATAGAAAAAATTGAAGATTTTGTATTAGAATTCGTGATACTTTCATAGTTTATGAGTCAGACAAAAAAGACACCAAAATTCAGAATTTTTTTTATAAATTTTAAAAATAGCGAGGGGGGGGAGGATAAATTTACCAAAAAAAAATGTCTTACCTAATTTATGGACGATCCTTTGTTATATTTTTATTTGTAAATAAATAAATAAATAAATAAATTCAAAAAACAGCGGCTCTTTCTTTGAAACAATTTTCTTTTTTTTTTTTTTTGCTCTTCTCATATTAAATTGGTTATACTTTTTTGTTGAAGATATTATTACAAGCAACAAGTCTCGGCATTAAAGTTATAATTATACCCGCACATAATGTGTTGTGTGTGAAGTGCCCCGCGCCGCGCGGCGTTATTCCATTTGCGATATGAGATCGATGTATATTAATGGTAAGTTTTCTTGTGGCACATTCAAGTATGAAGCTATTTGATTGAAGGATGGCAAGAAGAGTATAGCAAGTGGTGTAGATGAAAATCTATAATTACAAGATGATGCGCGACCGTGACATAGGTGAATGGTGCCGCAACACCTGGACTTATAGTTGTCGTTTCAATTACACGTGAACTTTATAATAACAAGTCTTTCCGATGATTAAATCTCTCTTTTTTTCTCTCTCTCTTTCTCTCTCTTTCTCTCTCTTTATATATAGATTGAAAACTCAGCCATTTAAAATGTTTTCTTTTCGTTTCTTTTTCCAGCGCTATTATGTTTATCGACAAACGACAGAAAAAATTGGCGCATTAATCATTGTAATTACAGACACATCAAAGTCGGCCTTTTTTCTCACGTGTAAATTTTCCTAACTTTTCGATTTTTTCGGGAAAAAAATGAATTTTGTATTATAAAATTGTACACATAAATTATTAATCGATTGTATTTTAAATAACATTTTTCTTTCAGATTTTCATAAATATTTCGAGATTATGAAGAGCCTTAGGGTTTTCCAGTTTGAAAACGAAATTTTTCCAGGTTTTTAAAACTACATTTATTATTATTTACCAAATTAAATCTATTACATTTATTTAAGAATTTCTGTAATTGTAAAATTAATCGAAAACATCAATTATTATTTTTCCATAGGGATTAAAATTCTTCAAAAGATTCATAAAATCATTATTTTAGTATTATAAGAACTATTCGCAAATTTTTCAATGAAATATAAATTAGAAAATAAAAACTTGAAATAATTTCAAAAGAAATCCATTAAACTTTTTCAAAAACAATTAATTCTACACAATTGTTATGTTAAAAGTATAAAAAATTCAGAATTTCAAAAATTTTAATTTGAAAATTCCACGAAAATTCAATTATTTAAATACAAAAATAAATTATTTATTGAATTCTCATGAAGAATTTTATAAACAAATTTTTTAATAATTAAATTCTTTTGACGAAATCAAATAAAATTTTTAAGAATAATAACATTTTTCGAAGAAATTGGATTAAAATTGTATTAAAAAGTAATTGAAAGTCTGCGATGAGTTTTATTTATGAAAATAATTGATTTCCTAAATAGAATAGAAATAGAATAGAATTTTATTATTTATGAAAATAATTGAATTTCTAAAAAGAATTTAATTATTTATAAAGATAATTGAATTCTTGACTAGAATTTCATTTAAATCTTCGAAAAAAAAAAATAATAATAATAATTTAATTCTTTAGAAGAATTTAAATAAAATTATGAAGAATTGCATTTTTTTGAGAAATTTATATCAATTCTTATTTCAAATTCTAATTAAAACTCATTTTTAAATCAATTTTTATTAGAAAATTCAACAAGAATTCAATTATTTAAATATAAAAATAAATAATTTATAGAGTATAATTTAATGTTTTTTAAAATTGTACTAAAAATAATTGAAATTCTGCAAAGAGTTTCATTCATATTAATATGAAAATCATTGAAATTCATAAAAAGAATTTTATTATTTAAGAAAATAATTGAATTATTGCGAAGAAATTTATAAAAAGTTTGTAAATAATTGAATTCCAGTGGAATTTTTATTATTATTCTTTTGGAAAATTTTATTAAAATCATTGACATTAAAAATCATTAAATTGAGGAAAATTTTTGGAAATAATTGAAATTTTTGCAATTTCCATGAATTTTATTAAAATTTTCGAAAAAAATTTAATTTTTGAGAAGAATTTTATTATTTTTAAGATAATTAAAATTTTGACGAGAATATTTTTTAATTTTGGAACATAATTGAATTTCTGCGAAGAATTTTATTA